GGTCATCAATACGTTGAATGAATGTCTTGAACTGACAAACTATGAACACATTCAGCATCCTACAAGCCTAGTGTTCCGTATAAGGAAAACGATGAAAAACACAAAATTTAATCAGATATAAAATATAATTTTCATTTTTTATTACAGACAACACAATAAGTATTATCGTCCACAGAAAAATGATGATGGGAATAGGAGATACAAAAAAGTTGAGTGCTGAAATTTTTCACAATGCATATATGAACTTTCTTCTGGCATTCCGTTTATTCAGTAGATTTTTAGTCAATTTTGTTTTGAAACTCAACCACTGGTTGATGTCTTTCAATTTCAATGTTGAAGTTCATGTATCATGATTGTTTGATTTTGTTCCAAAACTGAACCTGATAAGTGCGTTTGAAAAATCATCAGTATATATATATAACAAATAGTAATTTCTTTTTGATTCACGATAAAACATTTTATGAGACAGTTTTCGTTCAGAATCGATTTTCTTTCGATTTCTTCATTGTTATCAGCGGAAAAAATACGACCTAGCTACTCCACTAGGTATAGCTCAACTAGCTGACAGGTGTACCTCTATCATTAATAATCCAAATCAGCAAATAGTAAACCAACTTACTTTTGAAAACTCTGTAGGTATACGTTAAGCTATCATATAACTACTAAATAAACTTCATGTGTCATATTTTCGATGAGCCACCCTGTTGTGCATATACCTACACCTACTCATTGATATATCATCTAATATGATAGGTATTCGATGATATCCATGCAGTCCTACAAAAACAGCACTGCATATTAAAAACTATACCTACCCTACAGCACACATTGTTTAGAACAAACATCACCTACATCAGCAGGAGTCTAGAGGAATATACTATCATAATTTTCGAAAACCAAAAAGCATTTTCTGCCCAGATAAAAGATTTCAATATTACATTCAACCCTGTAGTCTCCATGCTCTAATTTTTGTGAATATACGGATTTCTCTATATTCATCAATGACTGAAAATTTCAATCCCCACATAATTATGTTTAGAACAAACAATGAATTGGCGTGCTTTTAGAAAATTTCTGTGAGTCATGGACATTCTTACGTTCTGGTAGGTTCGCCTCCTCAGAAGGGGCTAGCCTTAGACTCTAGGGTCATTTGCAGTGGCAGTGGTTAAAGGTAGCTCTTGTGTCTTTGTTCCTCTGTTATTCAGAGTCTCATGCCAATATTTGAAGCATGTACAATGTACATACCTACAAAAAAGGTATATTCATTGCATTCACCACGAAGTTTGCACTAACTCTTGAGTTCAATTTTATGCACTTCATTATTTACAAAACACGACAATTTGCAAGATAGTAAAAATTATTTGTGTAGTATTGCATCCGAATGTCTTCTCACCTTACGAAACTTCACAATATTAATAATGATTCAAAACTCCATTATAGCCAAAAAACAATTTGAAGGGGCATTTCGATCATTTTCAATAGCTTCTAACTCCAGAAGGGGCTAACTAAGGACATCTGAATTTTCCAACTCTTAGTAATATTTCTTATCTGCACTACTCGCAATTCTTGATCCAGAGGTGTATTTATGGATTATCCTAGTAGATACCACATACATTGGATGATTTTGGAAAATATATTTGCATCCCAATGAAAACTGTAGGTATGCATGTATGATTGAACAACCCAAGTGGTTATCAATCTATATCAGTGGCTTTATCACAAAAACCCATATTTCTTCAATTCGACATAAAGTTTCATTCAGCTAATCCTACCACATGGAGTGATCTTTTCAATAAAATGTCATGTATATTTTCAACTCTAGTGAAGCCACATATTGAACCAGATAAATGAATACGGCGTTTTCCAGTTTCCTAATCTTCTTTCTCCAAAATATGCTGTCAATAAGACGACTCACGTGAATTGAGGGCATATTTGGTTTAGAGTTATGTTGATGATTTCATAAAATGATTCTGAAATTCAAGACCTGAACATAAACCTTTTCCACTAAAATATTCATACACTTATGGATACCTATACCAGAAATGATCCCTGAATTCTCAATCTGAGGAAAGATTCATTCAAAATCACCATTCTCCAGATTGGTCTTGAGGATTTCTAGCAAATTACATGTCCAAAAACGTTTGTTATCATTTGAACTGGAGATAGGACGATGAACTGAAGCTCATATGCCCATTGTTCATAATCTTCATTGATTTTGTTCATCAATTCCATTCTTCGCCTTGTTTAAAAGTGTGTCTCTCAACATAAGAGCGCTTAGAACGCTTATTCATTCATCAAGCTCATTTCAACATGACACTCATGACAGTATGCATTCAGCAATGTTGGCTGCTTAGGAAATGTAACAAAATGTAATCCACAATCAATCTCTGTTTGAGAGTCGAATTTTGATATGTTTGTGCCGTAATTAGCAATGATGTTAACACAACTTAACAGGACCAAAGATATTTCTTTGGAGAATGTCTTGTCAACCTGACGAGGAAATTTTTATTTCAAACATATTCCTGAACAGTTGGAATAATATACTTACATCTTGCATGTCACTTCAACTTTATCCGAGCTGATTATAATGATGTTTTCGTTCGTTTGGATGTCTGTCAATTCAAGCATCCCTCGTTACAAAATAATCAATAATTCACAGGAGTGTCTGTCTGGGTAGAGGGAAAATTATTCTGCAAAATCGTTACGGTGAATGGGAAAAAGTTGTGCCCTACGGTGAACGCTTATTTATAGATAGATAATTCAAAGCGTGTTGAATGATTGTTACATTTCCGAATTAACTCAAAGGTCTCCTCGAAAGTGATACATTTTTGTTTGCATCATGATGTTCAGCTGAGTGGGATTTCTCGGAAATATATTTCAAGACACTAGTACAACATAGAACATTATTGCTATCTCATAATACAATGGCCCATTGATTTAATCGATGGCATACCGGTACTGTAAAAATACGTAATGTTGCACTCTTCTTGTGGTAGTACAATATTAAATTATATATATCGAATTATGGGAACCAATGTTACTTTCATAGCATTGGGCTGAGATATTTCTTGCTACCATTACAAGAAATCCTATTACCGTTACACATTGCAGCACATTGAAATCCTATGAAAGCACTTTGCTGAAAGTGAATTTTCTGCCACAGGTTATACTGCTGTCGCTATCAGGCAGCCCCTCTGAAACAGCATGATTGTGTTTTATAATTGATCTGAATTACTACTGGTGAGTTATATACCTGTGGCTGCAAGGTCCATCGCATAAAACTGCACTCACTACCAATACTACAACTGTCACGAATATAATATTTGACGAACCTACTTGGGGTTTTTCAGCGCATACTCTTCGTTGTTCGATATTTTCTTCCTTTTACCCCCCTCTATGAGCAATTGTCAGACATATTGACTCCCAAAGACGTGTTCAATCATTTCCAGTTGGGCAAACCCATGTACATGACGACAATCTCGACGACACGACAGTTACAAATACTTAATCTCTTTTATCAAATCCATAATTTGAACAAATGGAAAAATCTTCAGTGTCCCTCTCAGTGCTTTCGTAGATCTGAGTGCTTTAGTTATTATCAGGATTGATGAAATGATGAAGGTGAGTTTATTCGAGATATTTTGACTGAAATATTGATATTTTTATTCAACATTTCACCCACCAAGATCAGCAAAGTTCTCTTCCTATGATAATGAAATTGCCATACTCCTATTATTAGATGCACTCAGCAGCGGTAACAAAGTCCTATACCTATACTACAAAAACATCATCGTCTGATAGCAATATACAGAAGCACTCTCTAGTGGCAGCAAGGTTTTTTATCTAATGAATCAATCCGTAATCACCAATTGGGTAGTAAAAACTAGTATAATTCTCCAAGAATAACTTGATTTGGGAGGTTGATAAAAAAGTTATAGTGATAATATGTTAAACTATACCATATTAACAAAAGATTCAGTCCTGAGCAATCCACCTCTACCTCAGACTTTACTCTTTGGTAACATCCAATATGTCGCTAGGAAATATACAGTTGTGATTTATAGGTTAGTCGAAATTCACGAATAATTCATTCCATATACACAAGAGCTTTCGAGTTTTCTCCACTTTCTACATTGGTTTTCCGGAAATTTCAATATCGAAGCAACAGGAAAGAAATTCACCAAGTCTTGGCAGATCGATCAAATCAGAAGTGGATACATGAAAACGAGAACTTTTATTCCAGTTATTATCCAGTATTTCCAGAAAAATTATATTCTTCTCCACAGAATCACTATTCCTTTGTGTAAAAATAAACCACTCAATTCATATTGAAAATGCATTGGAAATACGTCAGTCAGTCATCATTGAGCCAACAATGGATGAGCAATAAAAGTAACTACTACTTTGCCAATATTGGCGATCAGTTGGACTGTGGGTTACTTTTGGGATTCACCTTTGAAAAATGACAACATTATGCCAATGATTGTTCAATGTGATGATAGTGATGACCCATGTGTAATCGTTTGATGGATATTGGATACTTATTCCTAAAAACGACATGCCAGTGAGGATACCTTTTTGACATTTGGAAGAATACATTTGAATGATTTTATTAATTGAATAATACTGAACGATTTCAAGAATGATATAATGATTTTTATTGTTTCCGAATGACAGGATTAGAATTTGATCTTCAGTAGAAGCCATACTATATAAATATAACATTCGCATTATTCAAACCCAAAGAATGTGAAACCAAATGAGGAAGTAATTATTGAAAGATAATATGTTGCATATTACTCAAAATCGGATGTTACAGGTTATTTAACATTCGAATATTTCCATTCTCTCAGATTTCTTCAAAGAAATACAGTATATAAGATTTCATCGAAATAGATATAGTTCTCAAAGATCCATATTCACCTCAAATACAGCGATGCATTCTGCATAATGAACTTTCCATTACGTTTGTCAATTTCGCTACTAAATATGGAACTTACCTCATAAGAATATTTATAAATTCCACTTATCTGTGAAAGAGCATCTAAGGCCTCAGCTGTAGCTTCAGAACACTCGCCACAATACATAATCCTGTTTATTTTCATTCACTTCACGAACAGAATAGATCAAAGCTAATTCAATGAGATGTCACAAGCGGTTCAACTTACAAACGAATATTGTTCACAATCAGAGATCAAAAAGTCTCAACAATGCACAATCAATCAGGAAAACAGTAGTTTAACACCGAATTGAAAATTGGCACTGATTTATGCGATCAAGGGTGTACAAATCATAAATGTATAAATAGATCTTCTATAGCGTCTATGACGTAAGATACGAACATTTCTCAGTGGAAAATAAACTAAGTTATCCGTATAACAATATTCTGGTATCCAATAAAATTCTAATTTTGTTAGATCAATCCGCATCAATCAAGATATGGAAATTCAGAACCACATTTTGGTGCTTTCGAATATTGTCTTTAATCAAACAATTTTTGAAATCTAGGCTCTTATAATATAGAGCTGTTATAATGATTGTTCCCTGATAGCTACCCACTCGCACTATGCGCCGTTTGAGAATAGTGTCCTAGGTATTTGAGTAATCTTTCTCCACCAATAAAGGTAGGTATATTCAGACTTATTCACAATACTTAAAAACTAACATAAGCGTTGTTCTCTTCTCACAGATTATCTTCACTTTATAAATTTGCTGATGATGAAGGATTAATCCTTTGAAACATGTCCTTTTGTCCATGACCATTGGTCATTACTAAATTGTTTATGTGGTGGAGTTGTGACTGTAAGTTCTTTCACCCCTCCTGATTTATATCACCACTACTGTAAGTTATGGATCACCTGCGTTGGTTATATCTCAGATATTATACTTATATTATGTCGTGCGTAAGTAGATACCTCTAGGGAGGATAGGGAGTACAATGTAGGTATACTAAACTTGTCTAGACAAAAATCTTCAGACGTTCAGAGCTTTGCCGTTTTGAGAGTTGTTTGGCATATCTTCAGGTCGACGAAAAACGACCATGGTGACTGAGTTTGTGGGGGTTCGCATGACTTGTATTTCTAGCATGTATCTACTATTTCTATATATGGCGCATCGCCTATACGATATCTCAACAAGAATGGAACCAAAATGAGAGGTGCTTCTTGAATTTAAAATAAAAATAAATTAAAATATTTACTTATTTAATATTACACTGTTCTACAGGTTAAACCCAACTACAGAACAGGGAAATAAGTATAACTAATAATACAGTTTTTCAAATTTTGAAAAGTATATAAATATAGGCAAGACCTTAGCTGAAATAAAATATTAAAAATCATCGATTGTTGATAATACCACAGCATGATACCATCAACTTAGATTTATTCCTTCATAATGTGGTTGGAATATAGCAAAGCATAATGTCAATAACTTCAAGGAACAGGAAAGAGCCATTGCAGATGATAATGAGATGAACTGCGATAATGATTTTATTCAGTTTAGTGGAATCTCGAAACTCACATATGCCAACTTCCGTATATCACTGAGAAGTGTCAAACTGCGAGAACACAATTTTCGAAGAGAAATATGATCGCTTTTCCATATTGAGAACAAGAAAGCAAATTCGTTCCTGACACGTCCAAACAAAAGTGAAAAATCGATATGTTTTCTTCAAACATTTTTCTAAACAAAGTGTCACTGACAAGCTATTGGATTTTTCTTCAAGGCTCCACATTATGAAAATGTGTTGAATGCAGTGACATTCTGGGGCAAGTCATCTGATTTGTCGTACTACACATATATTGAGATGATACTCATATTTTTATTTTATAGAAACAAGGAGAGAAAATCTCAAATGATGAAATAAGATGAAAAGATCCTCTTATTGAAAAAACAAATCTGGGAGCTGATTTGAAATATCGATAGATAAATAATGATATTAGAGATTATATACATTATATTTTCTTCTTGTATCGATTTTTTTTGTGGAAGAATAGAAGGTGAGAGTTGAATATGAAGTGATATGATTGAATTCGATGTCCCACTTATAACCTCCATGCAAGAGTTAACAAATAAAATGTCAATACCTACTTCCTCTCCCTATCCTCCCTAAATGTGTACGATGCTTTTAGGAATTTCCTTTCGTACGCTCTCAGAAGTAAGAAAGTTCAATTTGTGTACTGTCCAATTAATTGGTGTAATTATAAACTCAATTTTCACCTGATGTGACTGTTCATATCCCCAAGTTGAATAGCAAACAGCATACGTACTTTGTCAACTAAGAAGATACTTTGACTTGTAGATTGTGCAACGAGAAAAAGGAATCAGCCTTCTATATAATTCTCGTGTGATTCCTCGACATGTCAAGAGTATTTCGAACTGTCGAAGTTATGAAAAACTAGGTTAGGCTGAATGAAAATCATCAATACACCAATTGAATATCTTTTATTTGGTGGGTAGTAGATGGATAGGGCTATTCCGAGGGCTATTCTGATTCACCTCATGGAAATTCAGTATAAACCTGTTTGACTACAAAGAGAATTCTTTCAGAATTCAGATGAATTAACTAAAACAAATTTTCATTTGGCATACATAATAGGATATAAGGTATATTCACAAATTTTCAACAATGTCATTCAGTTCGGATCGAGATTCGATTTTTTGGCTCCAAATCATTTATTGCTCTCAGTTTGATTCATATAATTTTCCATCTTCAGCAATTAAAAAATTCACTCTTTTTCATTGCTGGTAGTTTGACATTATCTTGATCAACGTTCATTCAGAAACATAAGTAATGCTGAATATGGTGTTGGTGATGGATTTCCAATTGGTTCAACGACAGATGAAAACCCACACTCTATCAGTTATTGAAAACTTCATTTCTTCTGTTTCCTCCTCAATCTGCGCAATATCCATTTTGGTATTCTTTTAGATATCTCATCCTGTAGCTGCCGGTACACCATAACCAATAAAACTGGAATAGCCATTAGCTCATTTTGAAATAAATATAACCAACAAGCAACGACGAACATAGCCAAATCCGTTGTATAATCTACAAACCTGTGCACTTTTACCCCTGCCTGTGCGATCAATTCTTCTTGCTTTCTAGATCTCTCTGTAGGAGAGGGCGTTCTAGAGTCATTGATAAACGAGTCCATCAAACCCTCTGAGGTTTGTGTCATTATTTCTCTGAGCATTGGTCGACGCTGAGATGTTGTCAGAGATTTTACGGATTTATTTCTGTTTTGCATGCTTGGAGAGACAGAAGTCTTTCTGGTCTTCGTTGTACGTAAAGGAGATGCAGCTGTTTTTCTTCCTCTATATGAATCCAGAGTAGATGCTTTGGATTTCTCGATATCAATCTTAAGTGGTCGAATAGGAGATTCATAAGCTGTTCTACTCATTGCAGTAACAGCTGTATTGAAAGGGTAATTGCTAGAATTATCCGGACAATTGTTTTGATCTTTGGACAAACGATTGTCTTTATACTGTGAAGCAATAGATGAATCATCAAACCCAGAACTAGTGACATGATTAACATCCGCCGCATTTTTCTCCTCTCCAGAAATATAACCTTTTGTTGTCACAACAGTTTTTGACTGCTGACTATTGTTTGTTATCTCATCTTTTCCTTTTGAAACATTAGTTTGTATTTCATCGATTTCTGCAGCTCTCTTTAGTGAATCTCTGTCCAGATATGCTTGAGGGTTACTCTTCCTTCTACTACCATAACTTTTGACGATATCTCCATAATGATCGATGACAACTTTGGCTTCTTCAGTGTCCTTTTGCTTGTCCAAGAGTTTACTTGGAATTACAATACTTGCTGCAGTAATACCAGAAATGGTTGCAGCTGCAGAGATGCTGTGCATTATGGAATATGGTTTCGGTATTTCTGGAACAGAAGGTATCTGAGGAATATTTACAGATTTTATATTAATTTCATCTTGTGGTAGGAGAGAGAAAGACCTTTTACGCGGATGATTGTCCATTCCTTCTGTTGTTGGTTTTTTGATCGAGGGTAATGTGATAGATGTTTCTGCCAGAGAATGCGAACGACCTCTTGGTATTGGAGAGCTAGACCGATTTCTCGGCTGAAATACTGCTGATAGAGTATTCTGTGACATTTGTTCTTCATGTTCAGTTCTCTTCAAAATTGGTTTTGGTACAAAATCTGGGCTTGGTGGATCTTTCCGCACAGTTAATATCTCGAATGGCTCATTATTTTTCGTAGATTGTTTTGTCGCCATTTCTGGATGATACGTTTCCGTATCTTCTTCGTCACTGTGATAGTACTCTCTAGGAACTTCATTTGACTTGTAGTCGTCTTCCGATTCAGATTCATCTGTACTAGATGAATAGTCCTCATCCCATTTTTCTTCATCGGCAATGCGTATTTCATGTTTTCCTTTACTGGATTTCCCTTTCGAACTCATCTTCAGTCGTAATTCTTCGAAGACTCGTTCTTCATTCTCTACAGATTTAGATCTCAGCCTCTCAATCAATACTTGTTTCTTTTCCTCAGTACTCAACTTGAACTTGCGTAAATTATCCTGGAGAACTTCTTCTTTGAGCTCTGAAGGATTTTTCAGACTATGCCTTCTTCGATGGATATAGCTTTCTTTACAAGCTCCACCGAATGATAATTTTCTTCTGAAAGATGATTGTCTATATAAGCCTTCGAGGTTATGATCATCCTTAGAGTTGATCTGTATTTTTGGAATGTCTTTTCCACCTGGCAATGACTTCAATCGTCTTTCTATCTCCTTCTCTTCAGCTTCAGCGGCTTGGTATATTCTCATCATTGCTCTTTCATGTAGTAGCTCTGAAGAACTGGCTGAATTCCTCAGATTGTGAAATGGAGTAGCTTCACTGCCTAGTTCAGGAGCCGACAACGACATTGGAGGTGGAATTGAATCATATTCAGAATCGAACTGGTCTGAAATCAAAAATCATGATAGAAAATAGTACAATATATAACTAGTGTGGAAAGTGACGTATTTCGCCCGAATGGAGAGAAGCGCAGGAAATGCATTTACCAACGAGTTTGGTACACTATTGCTCCTACGACCAAAAATATTCAAATTATATTCATCATGAGTGTTTATCTCGTTAAGAACCATGATTTATTGATTTATTTGTTGAGTCCCATATTGTTTGGTTCCATTGTCTGATGATAGCCGAAGTGCCGAAACTAGTAACTTTTTACTGAAGAATTCTAGATAAAGTGTTGTCGACCGGCTTTGTGTTGCTTGTTTTCTCTTTGAAATTATTATTATTATTATTATTATCATCATTATTCAATTCAACCTCAATATTAACTTGACATTAACATAACAACAACTCAACATATGATCTCAAAATCAACTTGGGATCGTTTCAACATCGTAACTTCAACTCAACATTGAATTGCCATTGACTTAATATGAAATTGACATTAAATCAACAGTAACTCAACTTTAAGTCATCATTAAATCAACATTAACGACATCAACTCAATTTTGAATCAACATTAACTTGACATTTACTTGACCCTGATCAACATTAGCTCAACATTACTCCACATTACCTTGACATCATATTATCATTAACTTGACATTCAATTACCTATAACTTAACATTAACTGAACATTAAGTACTGTAAGCCTTAGTGTAAGAAGATTATAGTGTGAGACTAACGAAAACGAATGTTAAAACAGTGATAGTAAAGTATCAAGATTCAGTATTGAAATCATTCTTACATCATGGAGACAAAACGAAGATCACGTGAGCGTGCGGTAGTATTCCCACACTGTTCGTTAATACTTTCGCCTTGCTATGGTCATATAAGGTACTTACGAAGCTACAACTTAATGTGCTATATCATTCATTCATAGATGGTCGTAGGAAAAATATATTGCTGCATAGCATGTTCACTCACCTTTGTCGTTTTCACCAGGATAAAGGACCAACATGAATTCAGAACTTCCAGTTAGATTATCGTTCTTATTCCTCTGTGTCCTAAACGTCTTCTTATCTAGACTGCTTGTTGAACTCTCATTCAATGTCGTGTTCTCAGATGAAGATTTGACCTCAACTGAATGATCTGCTTGATCAATTTTTTTATTTCCTGTAGGGCTAGGTGTTCTTGACTTTTCCGACCCGCTGGAATAGGTGTTGAGATAATCAATTTGCTGTGAATCTTTCTTGAGTTTGATATCTGGGCTGCCATAAGCTAAGTCACGTGCCATTGATGATCTATCAGAAAGCTCGAACAATTTTTTGTTGGCTTTGGTGTCAACAATTCTTTTATTGGCCATAGGTGAAGCTTCAGGTGTTTTAGGTGGACTCTTGACTTTGGCTCTCTCAGGCCGTTTCGGTATTTGACTGGTGTCAATCAAGCTATCTTCATTCGAAGAGAATTGAATGGGGTTCTCAATCCTAGGTGATGATAGGGATCGTTGTTTGTTCTTCCTGCGAGCTACTGGAGTAACTGGCTGTTGTTCGATGTCTCTTTGCTGACTTAGACCTCTAGTTGATGGTTGCAGAATACCTCTTTTGGGGTCTGGTACAAACACTACATCTGATTCCTCTCCTGGATCACTCACCCCATACGGACTCTCAGCTTTGACTCTGAATTTATATTCGCTACCTTCTATCAAATCTCCCAGCATGGTTGTTAATTGTCTGCTTGTTGCTGCCTTGAGCCACACGTTCCATCCAAGCCGATAGTACTCGACAATGTAGTTTCCAATTTTACATCCACCATCATCATGAGGCGTACTCCAGGATAGGGTTACTGATCTACCCAAGGCCATGACAACCCTTGCTCTACCAGGAGGAGATGGCTTATCAGTCACTGTCACAAGAAATGACTGGTTAGTTTCCCCTAATTTGTTAACTGCTTTAATGTGATATTCTCCCCTATCTTCTCGATTCGCTTCATTTATCTTCAAGGTAGAGGATTGTTCGCTATGACTTATTTCGCAATGATCGTTATTTCGTAGAGATTCGCCATTGTGACTCCAAAAAACCAAGGGAGTCGGTCGTCCTGCCACAGATACTTTCAGCCGAATCACTTCCCCAAGCTCGAAAAGCAGTCCATCCTCGTATTGTCTTGGCAGTCTGATATTTGGAGGTGCCTCAACAATAAGCTTTGCTTTCGTAGACACGTGCCCAGCTCGATTAGTCGCTGTACATTTGATCTCGCCTTCATCAGACAAAGAGCTTTGGTGGATTGTCAGGATGCTTTTTTCGCCATCCGTGATTATCCTGATCCTCCTACTGCTGAAAATCTCGAAGGAGTCCTTGAACCAACATACTTTAGGGGCTGGTTGCCCCAAGAAGTGGACGATAAATTCAGCTTTTTCGTTCTCTAGAGTAGTAGTTTCTTTAAGCTCTTCTGTGAAACGTGGGGCAGTGACAGCAGATCTTTGTAAGGTGACTGTGATCGTTTCGGATAGTTCACTCGGATCTGAAATACCAACCGCGTTTTCTGCGCTGACTCTGAATTGGTACCTCCAACCGGGTTCTAAGCCGCTTATGGTGAGCTCTTGGGTTTGGACGAGAAGTGGGGTTGAGCGTACCCAATGAGGTGAGCCTGTGCGGCGATGTTCGACAAGGTAGCCGAATATGGGGGCACCTCCATCATTCAACGGTTTTTCCCAGCGTATCGTAACTAGGTCGGGGGTGCTTTCTGTTTCGGATATCAGGTGGGGTTTTCCTGGCTGTGGTGGTCTAGCTGAAAATCATGAACAGAATTCAGTGATGATTCCAGAAAAATTACGTTCAGAGATTGACGTGTACAACAAGACAATAGGTATTTGATCTGATATTGATATGACATTTTTGAGACGGCACAAGGAGGAGTACATTGTACCAACCTCTGCAGGATGTGTCCGATCTTTCACTGCCTAAGCATTTCGTGAAGGTTCCTAGGTAAAGTTAAATAGAGTATGGATCAGGTTTTTATCACAATGGAATTTCTATATTTGTACAGTGTGGGTTTTATTACTTGTTCATGTGCATTATTCTAGTAACGAGTGTAAAGTGAGGTATTTATATATTATTATCGTTTATGATCCAATATTGTTCAGTCATTGAATTAGGCAATTCAATTAAAAATCATGGAATTTATTCTAGTCCTCACAAGTAATGAGTTGACTCTACTAGTACTAGTACAGTAATCAATGTCATTGGCAAACTTGATTCAGTGGGAGAAATTTCATCAGACGGTTTTTCGGAAACAGTGAGAGAAATTTCATCAGACGGTGTCTCGGAAACATTTATGAGTTTCCTTCTCTTTGAATCCGAAAATAAAAAAGAATCATAGTATTGGTGACAAAATGGCTATCCAATGAAATAGGTATTGGATCATAAAACATATTATCAATAACGAGTTGAATGAGTTCCAAGAATCTAACACATTACATTGGATTCAGGCAAATGGAATTACATTCATGAAAATTGGTTTATCTGATCCCTTATTGTGTGTCAAGATTCCCTCTTATGTTCTCAGAATGTTTTGGTTGTTTCCAAAGTGAGTTGATATGTTATTTTTCCCACCAATTGCTCTCGAACCTACCATTATTTACTCCTATTCAAGGCTTCAAGTGTGTTTTAACTACCAAGATATTTTCATCATTTCACCGCTCTTATGCGAGAATTGATAAGACGTGCTTTTATAGTGACAATAGGTCGATATTATTTGTTTCACGGAACTATCATGATTGAAATATATAGCTATAGTGGTGAAAACAATTCAAATTTCACCTTGGTAGTAAAAAATAATATTACCACGGGACCTTTATGCCCCTCGGCTGAAGCCTCGGATTATAATCTTGGTCCCTGGGTAATAATGACATTCTCTACAAACTTGTAAAAATAACTATTGTTTTATATAAACGCATCAAGTGATCAGGATTTTTAGAATACTAATGATAAATATATTTGTGAACTATTTTTCATTCTGTGAACAAATATTCGAAAAACAACATGAGATATAGCTACAGATGATATTTCAATAGTAATGAGACTCCTACTGAGCAGAGAAGATATAAAAGTTGGAATGAATTGAAAAAGGGCCAGTATCACAAGGTGTAGTACCTTCGGATTTCAAGAAGCTTTCAGTGTTCCTGTTCGAAAGTAAAAACAAATATGGAATCGGTGATTGAAAAATGACAAAATATAATTCATTGCTCTATTTATGCAATTCATATATATTTGTCAGCACTTCCAATAATTTCAAAACCGACAGCAAATATTATGGAGAGAAATACCAACTTTGAAGATTCATCTAAAAATAATCGCATGTATTGACCTATGTAGTAGTTGGAATATGAACTCCAAATACTGACATTATGATAGCAACATGAGATATGTAATAAAATTGATGATTACCTGCAGCTTTCCAGTGGACTTGTTTCTTATTTCGTGGTTTTGGATGAGGTTTGACGTTCGTGTTCCCCATAGCACACTGCAACACCGCGAATCATTTTCCGATTATCCCGGTCGCGATGTATATTTAGAACTGGACCACCGACATTTCAGAGACTGAATGTCCTGCCTAAAGTGTACGAAATCGGATCAAATTTAATAATTTGTTTATATGTCTACTTTTACCTATTCTTAAACCCAATTCGAAAAGTTATCTGCCGAAGGAATATCCGTTTCATGTACCAATTTCCCATTTCGTGTCTCCCATAATTGTAGGAGTCCCCTTCAGATTGATTCCATGATGTGTTTCATTGGACAGCTATTTTCGAATGTTGACGTCTATAATGATATACCTACTATATTTCCAGGGCTGGACTGAAGGTACAAAGCGGGCCGGGCTTGTTTTTTTCTTAAATTTATATATGCAATGTTAGAATATTTACCACCAAAAATATCGGGACTTCGCTGAGTAGTTGTTCCGTTGGAGATTTCACATTTTTGTAAAAAATAGATGAAACAGGATAATTACACTTCGTGGATACGCAAGAACAAAAAACAAAATATAATGAAACTAATGAACATAAAATAGGCGCGTATACATCCGCATTACTCTCCCTCCCCCTCCCTCCTATAGGAGGTGCCACGGAGGTGACAGATAGCAAAAAAAGCGCCACAGGCGAAATTTCCTGTTGTTCAAGGTCAAATGCCTTCAAATTGCAATTGCATACCTAGTTGGTCCCAGCACTGGGACCAAACGCCCCATAAGTCGAAACTTGTGCGGGGTTAGGCAAACATACAAACACAAACATCCATGGCCTAACTAGGATTCGAACCTATGTCTCGGTGGGAGTCCCCATACGAACTCAGCGCCTTAACGCTCTCGACCACCGAGCCGCCTAATTGATGGTAAGGTTTATCAGAGGGGTATTATAAAGGTAGGAAAAATTGTTTCAAATTCACCTGAAAATTCACCGAATTTTAATGTCAAGTTTACTTCGAGCTGAAAAAATGCTTGAGCGTTATTCGGTGAGACAGTTTGATGAATACGTAAATCACATTATTGTTGAGGGTTTTTCAATTGCTTCACTCGAAGACTCCAAATCGCGACATTTCCACAGATTAGATACTTTTTTGACAAAGCAAGTTTGAAAAAAAATTACATAAAATCCATCAAAGATTCACAGTTTTGGTTGTCATGCATTCAGATTTTAAATTTCCGTTCTGTTGCTGGAAAAGTTAGGGTAACATTTTTTGGTGTCATAATGACAAAATTACAGCGGCTTGCGGGATGTTATGTACATAAATTAAATTGTCACAATGAGAAAAAACATCACACGCCGCAGTTTTGGCATTTTTGGGCGTGTAATGGTCTCGGCTGACTCCTACATTACGCCCTTGATACATAAAATACCATTCCAGAAGAGATTTAATGGAAGCCTCCACGTGATCTTGGGACAGACAGTTTCATACTATATTTAAAATCAATTTCAATTTAGAAAAGTACATAGTTACATGAAACTTGTGAAATAGACACGTCAATGAATATCTCCATACCTTTTCTAGATCAGGGTAGAATAAACATGCGTTTGTATGGAATTAAAAATTTCTACCAAATATCGGTTATAGAATAAGGCTCTAACAAGCAGGTCCAGGCTAAAAATAAGCCAGGCCATCGGGCGATCGCCCGAAGGACCAGTCCGGCCCTGTATGTTTCATTTTATCGTATATAACTCACAACTCATTGAATGATCTGTTATATTCTCATAGTGAAATATATAAAGCTACTTACTGATTGATTTTTATTTGAAGGATTCTGCTACGACCATCGTATCTTTCATTTATTACTTCTCTTGATATACAAATCTGGATCATTGATATGAAACCTTTCTCCTTAGATGTAGTGCTCTCCATATTCCTATTCAAGTATGTATTTTTAGATCAGGTTGTTACATTATTATATTTTCTTCGATAATAAATGGAACCTTATATCAATCCATGACTTCTCAAGAACGTAGGTAACATTGTTGTGGTTTGAAGGTTGCTGCATACCTGCATATATTGGTACATCAAAATGTATATGGTTGTATCAAAGGTGATATAAAAGAGGTAGGAATAAACAATAAGCGTTAGATGTATGCAACCAACATCACTGTTCTGAGTTGTGCCAGTTGTCTATTGAAATAACTACTCAAGTAACTCACAAGTCGATGTTAGTCTTGGAATTATTCCAAAAGTTCAGGATTCAGAATAGGGAATAAGATATGCAAAACTATTGATAACAAAAATGCGACTGATTAAAGATGTTGCAGAAAATTCCCATAGCAACATTGAACTAGTACTGACTCACGATGTTTTTTACAATCTGAGTGAGAATAATACCGACAAACTTCGCATCTCATTTTCTTTTTTCATACATCTAGGTATGTCCTAACATGCATCCTCTCTGAGATAATGAATACATGTTGTCAAAAACACGAAATACTTCAGGTTCATGTATGTAATGTAGTTCACATTTTTGAATCTTGTTAAGCGGTGGGGTAGTTACGGTGGTATATCGTTACATTTTCCTTAATTTTTTTTTTTGGGCAGATGGATTATCAAATTGGTGTAAGACATCAGTTAGGTTCATCGATACCTGACCTGAAAGTAATCACATCCCACATGTCTAAATGTAGAGGTTCCTGAGATATCCGCAAAAAAACTAAAGATATACCTATATGTCTTGAGGTAAATTTGGGTAGACATAATCGAATTACGGTACGCAGCAATGATCTCATAATGCTAATTGATATATTATTCAATCTCCTGACCATTTTAGATTGTTGAGAGAATTAGCAACATATAGTATTGGGTGAGTCAACAGTAGATCAACAAGCTTCTTATCAATTCTCATTCCACACGTTATTTCAAAAGTGAACAGTTTTGAATCAGACCATCGAAGACGGGGTATTTTGTAACAAAGCACACTTTCCTGGTCCATTTTCTCGGGAAAGTGAGAATTTTCCAAAAATTATACTTGGTTTGTTGAGAAATACACCTACATTTACTTCCGATATTGGGGGTGCAAAAACCTGAATGAATTCATAAACAAGTGTGTATTCGAAGTTGCGCAGCAGAATAATTTCAGAATCGATTCATCTCGAAGTCAGATAATGCGCTATCGCATATTGAACACGAGTACCATTTTCTATAAAAAAATTTCAGACTTACATATTTTTCGTCAAACTGCCGAAAAAAGCATAAATATTGAAGAAAAAATGCCCCTTGCCACGTCTCTAATAAAAATTTCGAAAATTTCTTAACATATTCGAATTTTGCGTAAAAAATCAGTTGGGTATACATAATCGAAATTCGACTACTTCATGACAAAGAGTTTCAAAAATATTAATCAACCTCTTCATCTCGGGCTAGCCTCCAGATGGCTATAACTCCTGAGGGGGCATTTCTGTATGCATATACATACACAGTGAAAAAAAAATTACACCAGCTAACACCATTTGACACCAACCGGTGTCCAGTGAGGTCCTGATTGTTTTAGTGTCAATTAGCACCGGCCTTTTCTTCACCATCATAGGGTGTCATGTGGTCTTCTCTATTGGTGTTCGAATGAATCAAACCCCGTCGGAAGATACTCTGGTCTCAGTGCGAATGAGCTCTTCAGTGGTGTTAATTATGCATTTCCGTATATGTAATTTGACACCGTGGTGGTGTACTATAAAATCATATGGTGATTTTCTTGATGCTGAGCTTTACTTCTAGATAATTCTTATCGGTGCGTTGTTACACTGAGCAGATACGTGCGAATACTTTTCTGGTGAAAAGAAACACCTTATTGAGTGTAATCAGGCAGAGAATCAGTGCGTTTTTGTACCTCCTCTGGTGTTTTTTCACCAGGTTGGGTTATTGAAACAAAATTTATCAGATGTGATACAACACCACTTCGACATATTTACATCAGCATTCAGTGTTTTTCCTATATTCTCCTGGTGTAATTTTAGCATTTTTTTTATAAATTAAACCACATTTTATGATATATTTATGATACTTGTGAGTGTTTTTCATAAACGAAATAGTGTGCCACATGAACATTTGGTGTATTTTTCATCGAGAATAGTATATGCTCGACACTCTATCTGGAGTGAATTTCACACAAAACAGGTTCAGGATTTTCACGTTTATTTTGAACCCCAACTTAACTTTTTTATGTATTGTAAAAAAAATTTTTCAAGAAATTTTCTTCCACATTTTTTTCTGTAGATTTTATATTATATGCCAACAGACAATCAGTTGAACATCTCAAAAATATTTATGGGCAACATTTATAAATTCTCAAACAGGCACCCTACCCTGTATTTTATTGCTTTTTCCGATTCTCCCTGAAGAGCTAATTTCATCGATCAATCACACTTGGGGTCCAGCTGAAATGATTAAAAAGATGATAATATCGTTTACGAAACTTTAGGAATGTTTTGTGTCGAAACTATTCATTATTGGCCAGAACAGTTTCCATATTCCTGTCATGACTTGATTTTACTATCTACTGACATTTTTTAATTGAAACAAATACAGGGTGGTGAAAAGTTTAGAATTCTGATGACCCTGTATTTGTCAAATAATGTCATTAGATAGTAAATCTAAAGTTGGGATAGGAACGTGGAAACCGTTTCGGCTAATAATGAATAGTTCCGACACAAAAAATTCGAAAAAATCTCAATTTTTCACATCTTACATCTCTGTAATCATTAAAGGTAAACCACAAGTGTGATAGATCGATGAAATCAGCTCTTCAGGAAGAATCTGAAAATGCAATAATATACAGGGTGTCCTATTTGGATATTTATGAATGTTGCCGATGAGAATTATTTGAGATGTTCAACTGTATTCCTGTCAGCATATATAGTCTACAAAAAATGAAATGAAATATGAAGAAACGTTGCTTGAAAAAAAAATTGAACAATAAATAAAAAAGTTAAGATGAGGTTCAAAATAAACCTGAAGACCCTGTACGAGTGTATACGTGTTGGCATTTTTTTGTTTTTTTTGCACTGCTGAATATTGGTGGTTCAACTATAGGCTCATGGAATATATAGGTACATAGAAAGAATAGGTTGAGTACGAGGTTTTATTCTTGAGATTCTTTCGAAACGAGTAAGTGTCAAGATATAGTTTTTTTTATTTTCTCTTCCTCATTGGATGGTGTTGTTTTCAAATCGTTCAATTTCTTCTCAATATCGTCAGGATTCGTCGTTGTCTCATCACCCACAGGACTATGGCTTGTGTTTTTTTCATGCAAAGGTTTTGAAGAGGAGCCTTCTTGCTTATGAATCCTATTGAGAGTTCTCAATCGGTTGGATAAGTAACCACCATTGGTTGAGGGATTGAAGAATATTTCCTAAAAATTCAGAGGCATTATCCTGTATAATTACTATATAAAAGTTAAACTCACATATCCACCAATTGAACTTTCCAAGTTTCGATAAGTGGGGAAAATTTCCACTAATGATTTGGCGAATTCCATCTTAGCACTCTTCGGTACAGCAGTTCCATACTTGTTGAAGAGGATATTGGCAACTATATTAACTAACTTGATACGGCACCTGTCAGTCAGCAATTTTTTCTCATTATATTGGTCTAGAATATACTGCCCACCGGCACGTACAATACATTTCAGTAGATCCTGTTGATAAAAAAAAATATTATTTCTAATTTGAAAACATCTTTGATGTGTAGCACAGTTGAAATATGGCAGAGTCCTCAAAACCGATTATAAATGGATATTAAAGGAGAACTAGTCTTATATATCGAAGACTGGAACCTTTGGCACGATAATACACTACACTGTTTTACTACTAACCAAACCGATTTTTTAACGCCTCGACACGTGTTTCGCTAACTATGTTAGCATCTTCAGGAGAAGATTAAAAAGAAAGATTCAGGGAATCCCTAGACTTTTTTAAAAATATTCTGTCCCATTCTACGGTACCTATCCTGTATAAAATTCCATCAATTTTCTTTGAGCCGTTTCTGAAATATGACAAAGTTCCCAGACTTTTGAAAGACACTGTATTCACAGATGTAAATGACAAAAAATGATATAAGAATTACCAACTATCGCGAATCCTACTGCTTGAATTAATGAATTAACAAACGAGACAACACCTGCTAGTGTTGAACGGTGTTAAATTACACCTGATGGTGTTGAATCACACCGAACAATTAATAAGAATAGATAGGTATGTTAGTTTTTTTGTCAGGTAGGTACCTACCTACACTTTTCTTGCTTGAATAATTCGAAAACTCCTAGACTAATCTACTACCCTACTAGTATATGTCTAGATTTGATGATTAATTCAAGCATGGCTTCAACATATAGTCTGAACTTAAGAATATTGAGTGATAATTGGTCAATTTTTATTATAAATTATGTATTTCATCTACCTATACCTATATCTAGACAGAATCCAAAGTCCAGTCATACGAAATGATATCAACATCTTAAACATGATATTTCTCACTTACCTTCAGAAATAATTTCTTCCGCACTTTCCCCGACAACAACCCACTTCTCACATGAGCGAAAGCAAATTTTTATGCACTTCATTATTTTGATCGGTACTATGTTAGTCGGCGTCGCAAAACGAAATGGCGGGGTTTGCCGTTGGCGGACGAGGTCGCCTATAGTGAGGAGCAGTGTTGCCTGATGTCAGATTTTGTTTTGTGCTATCCGATATTGTGATGATCACAAAAATGCAAAAATTTATCTGATCAATTTTATTAATCAATAAATAATGCCGATTTACAGTATCGGCATCTATTATGAAATCTTGGTAATATTGTTCCCAAGTGTTCGAGAGAAATTCTCAAACTTGAATCAGAAAATATGAAACTAAACTAAACAATTTCCATTTCCATGATTTTTTATAGGATGGGACAATTACAAGTTTGTGTTCTCTTATTTGAAAACTTATTTTCAAGCGACGTCAAAGTTTTTCCACGAAATTATCAATTTTATCGGATCCTTACGAATGAAAACTACCATGTATAATGTATTAGGTATCATACAAACTGAAAGTTTGTAACAATATCATGAAATGGGGTAGGTATCCACTTCCTGCCTCGCGCTTTCTGCTATCATTTTTTTCATCTGAGAATTGGCAACCATGTTGAATGTTGTTTCTCATTTGTTGTAAGGTATGAAACTTTGGGGTACATCGATACACTCAATATATTTCATTAACAATAGCTTGGTGATAATTTCATCATTATTTTGCAAGAATGAGCTTATAGGTAGTGTTGCTGTTTGTTCATCCACCAGAAGTGCATAAAATTCACACCATTTCATATACTCACATGCAATATTTCTATTAATTCCTATCGAATCTGGTGTCCTCAGGATGTGAAACTCAATGAGTGAATATTGTCTCCAAATTTGATGATTCATACACGTCTCCGATTAAATTGTGATTTGACACGGTTAAACTTGGTGTTAATTTCGTAAAATTAGTGTATATTCCACATTAAAGTGAATAATCGCACCAATAAGAATATTACTTTTCAACCATTTGGTGTTTATTTCAAATGTATCTTTCACAATCTCTCTACATCACCAGATCCGTGTCATGTCTCACTACTAAGGTCAGAGTTCACACCACCGAACACTATTTTATGAAATTTATAATAAAATGAACTAAACTATGATATCTAGGTGTTCATTTCATCGGATCTTTTTCTGAAATCGATGTGATTGAAATTACACCCAATTTTTTTTCACTGTGTATAAACTCATTCTTGTTCATATAATATATATGCAGTTGAAATCTTCCTACGTAATTGCGGGACATATTGAGGGTCAAAATTCAAATGGACCACCATCATTTCGCGCTAATATATTGGAAATCTCTGATATTTGATCTTCAATACAAGAAATCATACGAAGTTTATGGTCAAGATCATATCATACCTACCATATGTTTCAATTGGAAATTCTTTCACTTTGTTTATAGGTTAGTATACCACAATATTGCAAGATTTTAGTGGGATCTTGTTAGGAATTACAAATCCCATCAATTGAATGTGCCGGCTGACTGACCGTCAGGAAGTCATCTTCTAGAATGTACTTTAACAACATCTTGTTACAGAAAGCAAGTATTGGGATGCAAATAGATGTCTGTAAGGATACTCGAGTGACAAGGCAACTTCATATAGTCTTGATAATCTTCCTCTGACTCCGCCAGTGTTGCCTAATGAATCGCCGAGTGAAAAAACTACCCGAATGCTGAAAAACTAGTTCACCTGACCGACCATCAGCAGCCATTTCACCAGTCCAGTGATAACTGTTATTTCAGTTTGATGAAATGGTGAACCTCAATATTCCGGCGAAATTTGTCAACAAACTTTCGACCGCGGAACCTGTTGCTGAGAACCAGATAGGAAGCAAGATGCGAGTGACGTCGGTTGCTCCTTAGTAGGTACCACTGCTCCCTCCTAAAAAGGCGGATGCCTCAGGCAACGTTGGAACGGTACTTCGGCACGGATCACTCCTAGATATTGCAATGTACACTGCTCAACAGAAAACTACCAGCAGTTCGAATCATTTGCCGAAGGAAGTATTTCCAAGAACTTATTATCTCCAAATATTCAAGTTGAAAGCCAACACCTACATCTTTTTCCTTTCCTCCCTATAGGTACGCACGATATTATTCGAACATTATAAGGATACCCTTCCGTGCGATTCGAGAGATGTGAAATTTTTTTTCTGATGTGAGTTATTGTTGAGGATTCGTATTTACATGGATACTGGATGGTAACTATAACCATTCTTTGGTAATTGGCCCATCACACCCCAGTCACAACTTCGATTTCTCCAAACATGGCATGATACTACGTCCCTCAAGTCCACTGATGATTTGTTGAAAAATTTTATCGATAAGTTTATTATGAACGCTTTGATGAAGATGTTACTCAGAGTTTAGTAACGTCTATTGATTAAAACTCGCTGAAAGAGATCGGTCTTACTAAACTCATCATTCTCATCTTCCTCAACAAATTACGAATAGATGGTTATGGAATATCTTGTTAATTACTAATATCAAAGCATCGCTCGGTATTTCTCATTATTATTATTATATAATCATTGCTTTGATCCGTAATGTATTGCAGCATAGTACTATCAGTTTTATATATATATTATTGATTTTGAGTGATGTGAGGAATCACCAAAAGAATTGGATTCAACATATTCATATAGTCTCTTCAGAGAACTCCAATAGACTTCAACATAGGACTCCCCCAACATGTTGATCAACCGATGAAAGTGTCAATTCCCGAGAACAGAAGACAAATGTGGCAGGTGGCAAATGGGAATCAATATCATACTGTGCGTTATGGGAATATTTCTATATCTCCACCAGAGAATATAAGTGAAAGAGGCTCGGAGAAATATTTTTGCACACACACAAATTTTATTATAATCTGTTATATTATGGTCATAATTCAATAAACAGAAATGACATGGACAAGGGTTACACTTGCTCTTAACTCGGCTGCCTGCCGAACACTGTATGAGCCAGTCTTCACACACGTCTGTCATGAGCTCTGATCTAAGCACATTCCACTGAGCAGTAGCGCTCTAGTTACTAGATGCTAACATAATCAATCAATTAACATTCCTGTGATTCAAATAACGTTTTTCAGAAATGCCAGGTGATCTGGAGAGCTCAAAACAGTTGGCAATGCAGGAGGTGGAAGGTCACTTGAGCTATCAATTTCTGGTTCATTTATCCACAAGAATTGAATTCGTTCATGGATATCAATGACCATTATCAAGATGCATCAGCATTATAATGTTCCTTTCTGATCCTCAAGAATGGATGGAATGAGCACAGAATCCAGGTACATCAGAACATTCCTAACTCTACTTTCTCCATGTTTTTCTAATGCATTCCATTCCATGTATGTAGATGACATATGACAGATGACCTGCAATCACACTAGTGCCGCACCGCGGAAACAATATAGAACATTCCTGCCATTTTGCTCATAGCGTTTTCCACTTGTCGCACTGGTTCATACTTTTCTCAAAATGAGCACGTACTGCTCGGTTCACTGGAAATTTCAAGACCAAACTATGTCGAGAAATTATATCCACTGGCTTGCAGAATTGCTCGATGATCGCCCAGAGTTCTAATTTTCAGAAACGTGCTACGGCGACAGGCTGCTCCTCATAACCCCAAATTATCGAGTGTATTATGAATATAATATATTATCTCATTGTGGTTCGTTCTTGAATTTATGAATTTTTCGGATACAAGTGATGGTGGTGGATCAATTGAGATTATTCGATCATTAACCACCATTTACCAGATCTTCTTTCGGGGGTGGTCGAAATCCTCCATGGACACCACGAAGGACCATTCCCTTCATGGTAGTGTGGAAATCCTTACATGTTAGTGTACCCACCAAACAAACCACCTCCTTTTAAGCTACGCCTCTGACCAAATTCTCCGATGACACTCAAGCCTATTGGCCCATTGTACCTGACCTCGAATATGCAGTTACTGATTATACCTTGTACGACCCATGGTTTTTGATGAGGGTCAGTTCAAATACCCTCACGATAACTGTAAGCACTGCCGCTCACAGTAACACAGGTTCCTTTGAGATACCCTTCCTCGTTCAGGTTCCTGAAGACTACTCTTTCGAGCCCTCTGATCTTGTTCATGAAGAAGGCCGTAATTTCCCCCTCACGAGTAATGGGGAAGGGGGTTCGTCCAGCCCTGTGGTGCCCCCTGCACAGGGCTGAGGTCCCGTTATCACGGGTTCCCTCAACTTGGATTTGGTTGCCAGAGCCTCGTGCATCAATCCGTGGTCACATAAGCAAATCTTCACAAATTGCCTCATCTTTTGCACACAGATGTCCAGAAAACTGTCCCATCTGAGTAATGCGAACAAAGATGTCCACGAAATGGTCCGTCTGCCGAGCAACCGCGGCTTGTCCTCTCCGCATCATAGTGAGGTTGTGCTTCAGGGGAGGAGGAGAGCAGAAGAATTGACCAAGCGAGGCCGATAGAAGAGATGAAAAACTAAATAGTCAAAAGGATGCCATCAAAGACAAGTTGAAAACTGATGAGTATTCAATTAGGGTACCTAGGAATTGTCAATCCCGTATCTACAATTTGTGAGCTCCCGAGGGGTACCAGATATAACATACCTGGGAGTTTCTTGCAGGAAATAGAACTCGTATTAGACAAATGTTTCGAATGGATTTGGTACAGGAAAAACACATTCTGCATGAACCCTATCTCAAAGGAATTGGATGTTCTGCTAGTTGTTGCTCTTCTGGATTGATCAATTGTGATTCATACTGCTCTGTGCTGAAAAAGGACATTATGGAAAAACAGCGAGTGCGACTTATGGTTGCTTGGTACTTCTGCTTCATATAATGAGTAAATTGACGAGTGGACAAAGCTATAAGTTAATCTTTGGTAGAAGTCGATGGTTTCTAAAAGTGGAGTCAAGTATTAAATACTCAATGATACACAAAGTCATCTCCACGACATCTAATGTGATTAACATATCGAAAATTGGTACATGTTTCAGAAATATATATGCCCATCATCAGCATTAAATCGAAATGTGTGCCATTTGTTGGTTCCCACCACAAATTTAAATGACAGTTTTCTGGGGGGCTTGTTGGGTTTCCCCATTCAATTTTTCACTTTAAAACTCTTCACTACATAATATTATAATGAAAAAGTTGGTGACATAACTTTTTTTGTAATTTCGATATGAAGCTGATGATGGACATATATATATATGTCCGAAAGATGTACCAATTTTTGATGTGTTAATCATATTGAAAGTCGTGGAGATGACTATCATTTAGTATTTAAGCCATGAGTTGTTTTTTGTTGGACGATGATATGGGTGATTGTACAGTTTGAGCAGTGTGTTTCAACATGGAGATGCGCCTTTTCCTGAAGAAAGTAGTACAACCTACCTTGACCTGTCTATCTTCTGGAATTCACTTGAGCTCATAGGATTGGTTGAACAGATAGACCAATAGACCGATGTGATACTTTCGTTGTTGAATTGAAAGAAAAACAAAGATTCATGAGCTTTGTGAATGGTGAATGAGATATTGTCATATGAATGTGGTTTGTTGACTATTTTTAAAATCAAGTTTCAGTTGGGAACCTCGACATAGATCATTGACCTTCTCATATTCGCAAAGATTTATTTGCCGATTGAATCATCGTTAATATCAGTGATCTTGGCTTGATAGTCGATTTAAACAATAATCTCACTCATTCAATGAAATATTATTTTTTAGTTTATATACCTACATAGAATTCACTCAAATTGAGTCCTCACCTTTTTGTTTGCCATTGAATATTTTATACTGTCCACTGCACATAATTGAGGACGTCATTTTTCTTGCATTATACAAAAATCAGATGATCTGATGGAAAATAGGGAGATATAGTTCTCCTATGAAAGTTAACAACGATATCAATAATCAACAATTAATTGAATAGTTCTTACTCCTCATCTACGTATACTTTTTCAACCTGAGACGATCCTTTTCGTTTCAAAGATTGATTGTCATAATTATATCACTAAATTCACTTCGAAAAATCCTGAAGGAGATATTGTATTCCTTTTGACAAGATTTATCTCAGTTATATCTAAGAAAGTGAAATTTAATATTTTCGTCGGTAACATATTTCATGTTTATAGCCATTGAAGAATTTCATTCAGGTGCCTATTATCATGAGGCCCCTCAAATGAGAGGTCCTAAGAGATTCAAACATATGCTAACTCCATGAAAAAACAAGAGCTACACCCTCTCAGCATTGACCCTTCAGTCTACCCTATCGACCTATTCATCAATGCCCACAAATTCCGAAGAAAAAATTAAGATGAAATCATCTCTGATTCAGTTTGATTCATTTTGTTGCCAGAAACAATGTTGAGATTTTAATTTGTATACGCTTCAGTACCAGAAAGCTACACCTGTACAAATACCAAATGACAGGTCGTGAGAGATGCTAACAACTACGCACCACAAAGTGAAAACGTTATCAATCATCGGTCAACGCATAATTCCTGAATCTAGCACAATCAGCTGTCGACAAAAGCCCAGCAGAACATAGCTTCCAATTCGAAAAGACAAGCCCATCATTGGCTGGCTCGGACAATTGACAGGCGCAGCAAATAAACACCGCATTCATCGTGTCTGCCCTGACACACTCTTGGCGCATTCAGCCAGTACCAACGGCGGTACCGATGAAGGTACCACGTGTGTCGAGGTGCGCCACAGTACCGTCCAGTATGTGCGTGGTTCGATTATTTTTCACTTGAATCTTCTCAATCATTTCAGGTTAGTGGGAGGTTTGTTAACAGCATTTTTGGGCTATTTTGGGTGAATTATTTTTCAAATGTGGAATTGAAATAACAATAATAAAGTATTTTATCGAATAATATTATAACGAACCCATTCATTAAGAAGTCCTTAGCAACTTTGACGTGTGCTCTCAACTACTACTAGTATTCGATATTGAGGAGACTATTCAACAATATTCTGATGAGCCAACCAACTAACCAACTTGAGCTAAGTCCATGGAAGAGTCTGAGCTAGACATTAAGCAATGTCCCTTCAGTATATCTTGTCAAATTATCCGTCAATCTCCAGAGATCCTGCAGGAAAAATTCAGATGAAGTTATTTCTGATTCCTTTTGATGGATTATCATCGGAATTTTGCTATACGCCGTATCAATGTATGAAAACATTGATGATATTCAAATTTATACGTTGCAGAACCTGAACGCAAGCTTTTCGGGTAACATTCAGTGCCAATCAACAATAAGAGACTTCTCATTTCAAAACACTAATAAAGTATATGCAAAGTCAGTTGGAACTGCACATCAACAGCGGGACGTCGGTCCCTTTGAAATGTCAAAGAGAGCGGCAGCGCGACCCGACATTCCTTTGATGATCTGTTTCAACTGACTTTGGATAGAACCTAGATTTCTTCCCCCTGTAACAAAAAATCTCTTCCAATGTAATAATCATTTGATTATTTTGCACAATCATCATCTATGGCGACAAGTTGATCTCATCAAGACTGATCGATTAGCAACAGAACCAATAATTGGACACTGTTTCCGGTATGATTAGGAGAGAAAAATATCGAAAACAGAACACATTTTCAGTCGACTATGAACGAATTTGGGATTGTCTTGAATCCATGGCCATGAAACTATCATCTACTGCAGACACTTATCTTCTCACTTCACTGTTGTAGGAGGAAGATATCTGATTTACTCTGGAAATCCATAGCACTCTTTTTTCAGCTGTGTACGTTAACTTGTCAAAGGAATCAAAAAGAAAACTGTATTTGTTTTCAATGCATATTCACGTAGTTGAATTTGAAATAACTTCAATTCTGGAATCATAGTTTCATGCCGGCTTCGATTGAATCTTACTTTTATTGACCTGGGTTTGAATATAATAAAGCTTATAATGCAACTGAATAAACTGCAACTGCATGAACTAATATTTTTATATCCATCCTGGCACAATGATCCCAGAAGAGGGAATGACCAATTTTCGAAGATCACTTTGATGCTCGTCTGTTTGAATAGTTGCTGTAACCGTGCATGTAACTATGCTACACAGGGTGGAAATTTAATCAAGAATAAATTCGCTAGCTGGGAGGTGCAATTTTTTTATGAAAATTCTTAACAAACGTCATTGTTTCAATGTATTAACCTACATTTTGCAAACATCATGGAAAATATAGCTCTTCCGGGGTAGCTGAAACCACCCTGAAAATGGAAAGCCGGTGAAAAGAGTAATCCAGCCTATTGATCAAATTCTAGCTCTTTACGTTTGACAGTTGCATGAAATCAAAACGTAATTTTGAATTCAATTTTATTTTCAACGTACCAATTGCTTGAAATGTGAGTTTACTTCAATTATCAGATGTTCCCACAGATACCTATTCCAGAGGAACTGATATCTGCTAGTTATCAAAACGTAATTTTGAATTCAATTTTATTTTCAACGTACCAATTGCTTGAAATGTGAGTTTACTCCAATTATCAGATGTTCCCACAGATATTCCGGAGGAACTGATATCTGCGATTTTATGCCAGCGACAAAAAGAAATTCAGTTTGATGCCACATTCACAGTTCGAAACGCAGTGTTGTTGCAATATATGTACCTTATTCAACTGAATACCTGGAATCGGAATTTTGATGGAAATACGTGAAAAATTTATATAAATTCGAAATTATTTTTTTATCAGTACGCTGGATTCCCCTTTCAACCAGCTTCACAATGAAGGCTGAAAATCAATAGGGTTTCATTTGAATGGAAACATATCGTGGTTGATTCCAGCTACCCCTGAGGGGCTATATTCTTCATATTGATTCCCAAATGTTGGTGAACACATCAAAACGTTGACATGTCTCGAGAATTTTCAGAAGAATAATTCACTTCCCGCTAGCGAATTCATCCCAGCTAAAGTCTCCACCCTGTATAATTTTCCACCAGTTTAATGAACCAAGAAGGTATATTTCCATCACCAGGATATGGAAAGTAGGCTGAATCTATCATGCCTACAAGGACGAACAGCTTTGCTCCCAGGCGGTCGCGACAGAGAAGGACATCCCATTCTGCTCTTCACGATACCGGCAGAATCTCCGCCGCTGGATGCTGTACCGGTACTTCAGTACTTACTTTCTCTATTCAGGTGGGCAAATCTTGATTTACAGCAAGAAATTAAAATGATAGAGACTTAATCTTATAAATTGTTCCTCCAAACCGAAGATTTAATGATTATGCTGTTCGAAAAAGTTGGATTAAGCAACAAAACTAGTTGGTTAAAATTGACAGTCTTGTATGAATACATTGAATTGTTTTACAGTTATCAATGTGATCGATTGATATTATGAAAATGAAAAAAAAAATACAGGGTGGATAATTTTGTTCTCCGGAAACATGTAGTAAGTGATAGATTTTCGAGGAATATTGAGAACATATACTAGTTCATATACAGTGCGAATAGCTATTTATATATCAAGGGACCACAGGTTTTCATTTCCTCCCACGTGCATCAAATACACATGGGAGGAAATGAAGCTTTGCTCCCAAGATATATATGATTTCATCCACGAACGCATTTGAGAGCGTCATTCTTAAAATAATTGTGCTTCAGGCGATCTATCTCTCGAATCACCATCCAAATCAATGTGTTACATGATCTAAGGTTACAGACAATATTCGATGAATTTGAACAAGAACCACTTTGACACTTCCGTCACATTGGATTTGTATATTGTGTAATAGTTATTTATGTATTGAGGGAATTATGAGGGCCTTAATTACCGATGGCAAAGTTTGCGTCCCGAGGGCCTCTGGCCCGAGGGACAGCAATTGCCTGAGGTTATTGAGGCTCAGTAATTCCCGTGATACATAGATAATTTTATTTCTGACTGATTTCATTCATTAGATACCTTCCCGATTGGAAGTTAGACATGTTTTTCCTTATAGTTTCAATGTCATCAGAACGTCAGATGATGATCTTGACTACCGCGAATAGGAGATTCCTTATTGCTACGTTACTGCGTGGTTGTTGCTATGCATTTCTTATTTAATTTTATTTAGAGGGAATTATAGCATCTATAACATCCCAAGGGAGTTATGACCCTCATAATAGATATCGTAACTATGACGATATAAGCTTATAATGTCACTGTCAGAAATAAAAGTATTTAAAGTTTCGATTGAGTAGGTTTGGAATATGAGGAAGTGTATGAGATCATTGGAGTTCAAAAATGGAATTGTTATTTCTTTTATAGTAGTGATGAAGACACTGATCAGGTACTTGGGTAAAACAGATCTTATACGTATATCTCTACCAAGAAAGCAAGGTAATGCGAATTCATTTCATCTCTCACGGAAGATAATTTTTTTTTCCTCCCGTGGGATTGAATTCCTGAAAGCAGGAAGCAGAAGCTTACTTTCGATGCAGTTACAGTTACAGCCAAATATGTTGGTTACATAGGATATGGGCAATATCTTCAATACTGCAGAAGATACCAATTTCCTGCCAACGTCTTTCTGTGGTAGAGCTACATCATGAAGCATTTACCCACAGTTGGAGCAAAGTAACTTTAACGTCGTAGTGATGTTACTCTTCTTCCGTGGGAAAGTAACTATACTATCTATACTTACAGGATAGATATTTGCTGCTACAGTATAACGATTATTTCAGAACGAACGAAGTTCTTGCCATGAGCAGCATGAATGTTTCTATAGCCAATGGAAGTTAATTTCCTCATGATACCAGGAATATTTGCTGGAAATATCTTTGAAAGTATGCTGGTATAACATTTAGCCCGTCCAACAAAACTAGGATAAGGAAACTTCAATCAAATTCTATAATTTTATGTGTACTTAAGTATTTGAAATAACATCACTTCTCGAAAATCTTATAGATTTAATTGAGGTTCAATTATCCTAGTTTTGTTGGGCGCGTGAATGGTTTCACTAAAAGATATTACCTGCTGATATTTTACTTATGTGAGAGAATTGACTTCCACTTGCTGATGAAACCACTTGATACTATTTCAGCTCAATAAAAAAACAGAATAGAGATAGTCATGAGATATTTCATTCTGTTGCCGCTTTCGTTGTAGCTGTTTGTCTATATGATTAGATGAATCCATATAGTGAGGAAGGATCCAAAAATTGAACGTCACTGAGCAAGCACGATTCAAGAGAACAACTGACTGTCACAAAAGTAATACAACTGAAATATTTCAATGAAAGTAATTCTCATAGAAGAAGCAATAAATAGACAACAAGGGATTACGCAGGTAGTACCCGGCAACTAAATGACTGCTGACCTAATTGAGATTAGGAACTGAATTACATTTTATCATCAAGAATCTCAAATAAATTTACAATTTACTCTCTGCCGAGAACCAAACTATCAACACATCTCCTTCACATCTTCAATTTTATGCACTCTGTACAGGACAGAACATCTGAATATGAAGTAGAAGGTAATAACAACCCTCTGACCAAAACGCGTGATCAACGATCCTCTATCTAACTGTGATATTATCGAATTGAGGAATATGACGGAATCGTTATCACTAGACGCCTCAATTATTCTCAACTGTTCCTCTAGCCTTTCCGAAATTTCTCACTAGGCCACAGCAGTACTCGATCATACCCCTTCTACCATTTTCCATGACTTATTTCCGCGGAACTCTACTTAGCAGGTGTTCGAACCGCTTTCAGTTAAATCTTCTTACTGGGATAGCGAAGAACATTACAGGAATCTTAAAGAAATATTCATGAGATGCCAATCTTCTCTGCTGGGCAAGCAGAGAATATTACAGTTATTATGAAAATATATTAATGAAAACTTCTTTGCTACAATAGTAAGATATCAATCTATCCTAGTAGAGTACATTATCAGGGTAGTAGGAATAATGTTATTGAATGACAGTTCTCCTCCAACAGCATAGTTTCTTTTCGTGGCAGCAAGTTTATATGGAGTACCAGTACAATGGTTCACTACGTTCGTAACTTGATTGGCCACGATAGGTCAGGAACTTCCACCTGGGACTTTTCTTAGTGTACCTTCAAGTGGGATTGTTTGAGTTTTCCGAGGAGTTTTCTCACGATATATCGGTGAATGTATGTCAGATATTCCTCAAATTCTTCATATTCTTGCATAAAATGTTGCCTCCTCTTATGTACCCTCCATCAAATGCACTATTGGGATAAAGATCGACTTGATAGGTTCTATATTAGTAATTCATGCATATTCAAGTTGGTACCTACTCAGAACTCTCGTTGAGCAGTGATTCATGAACTGAATCCATCATATATAAGAAAAACGTTCTATCGTCAATATTTGTATGGAATTTGGCATCATTTTGGTTATAGAATTATTATATTTCAGACTCATTTTATATCCACTACATCTTCTATTGAATGTCTTTATTAGTTAAAAGTTCATACAACGTGCCTTAAAACCATTCTCAGTCTGTATGCCAAGAAACACCTTCATTGTTCAACAACAGTAATAAATAGTGATACAATTGATGTTATAATTATTGGTGATATTGAGAATAATGAAATAACTGCATTGATAATGATGTACATAGAATACAGTTAAGTTTTCCACGCTGTCTTGAAACTTCATTCAACTCATCTCAAACAGAACAGTAATCAATAACTGTATGACACATACCTGAGAAACAAGCGATTGAATTGACGCAAATCACGTCTGATAATTGATAAAATTGTTCCTTTAAGTGCCTGAGGTAGAGATTGACCCATCCTTTCCCAGAATATCTCAAATTGTCTCCTTCTTTTAACTATGTGAGGAGATGAGGGAAGGTAGGATATCTCTTGATTTTTGTAGAAATGGTCGAGAGAAATCATTTTCGCCTCAACTTGTGTGAACAAGATAATATAGATCTTTTTTCTTATTATTTACAGGAAAAATCGCATCATTCGGTACGGTTATTACCGATATGACAGGAGACATGTACCAGCCTGTAGATTTTTCATTTGAAGAGATAACAATTTTGAATTCACAAGGGTTTAAAATCGATGATGGCGCTTCCCTTGAACCCAATGATAATTTTCTTCACCTACCTGTTTGATTGGAAGTAGACCCATCTTTTGTTTTTAAATAGCATCCTGTATATTTCTGTAACCAATCTTATTCAATTCAATACTTTCATTGAGTTAAAAAAAATCTTAAAATAACTAACGATATTGAAAAAACTAAGATAGAAACTCAGTTGTTTTCATTTGGCTACTTGTGAAGAGACTATTAGTCTTTCATTATTGCCATGTTGTCATCATATGATCATCCATTTGGATACATGAAACTGAAATTGTTGTAATAATTGATGTATCGTGCCAATACATCTGTTCATAAGTCTACATTAGTGTATTTTCAGTATCATTTCGCTTATCAAATTGTGATACATAGTCGAATAGAAAATTTCAAGGCGGATAAGAAAGGCTACAGAAATATACAGGATGTCATTTGAAAACAAAAAGTTGGTTCTACTTCCGAGCAAACAGGTGGTTGAAGAAAATTGTCATTGGGTTCAAGGGAAGTGCCATCATCGATAATATAACCCTTGTGAATAACTATTCACATGATATGTCTTCTGAATCTCTTGGAAGATGGCGGTTCAGTCTTTCAGGATCAATGTTGGTAGAATTGATGATTATTCGTAGAGGAAGGTTGCCTTGATCTGAAAACGCGGCGAGGGGAAGTAGTATTTCGTGACGTAATCGCATTCAAAGTTTCATGTTGGGATCATTGAAATATATGTATAATATTGATAATAATAATAATAATAATAATAATAATAATATGGCTTTTATTGCTGCAACACCTTCCCTAACATACTGAACGAAAAATGAGAAAATAATTATATATTCTTATATCCTACGTTCTATATTATCATAAAGTAAGTTGGCTGCATAGCAAACACAAAGTTCGCACTTCTTCAATTGTATACACAGATACTTAAGCCGCGTTCTTCCACTTACTTCTAGATAATAACTGGATAGGTGAATAAACTTGAAGATAGTTTTAGAATATAGATTTCCATGACTCTGGAAGGGATTACGTCACGAATTACCACTTAACCTCACCGCGTTTTGGTGATCGAGGCAACCTCCCTCTACAAATAATCATCAATTCTACCAACTTTGTTCAAGATGATAAAGGAGGTATTCCATCAATATGGGTTTCACTGTCAGATTTGTTTCACACACTTCACAAATTGGAACTAAAGTATTCGTGCGTCAGTCTGGTATGACTCATCCTGAGAACTTCTTCAAGTTTTGTAAACACTTTACAAACAAGAAGTTTCCCACAAAATTCTCAATCAGACGACATGTTTCGCTAGCACAGTAGCTTCATCAGGTGAAATACTGGTACAAACTAAACTTGGCTTGCGTAACTTTTATATATCTTACTTTCCCAACCTGAAGGATTAGAATCACTTGTGGACAAGTTCGATAAACCTCCATTTTAGGGAAATAGACACAATATCTACATCAAAATACAGTGTATCAGATTAACTTGTAAGGGTTGATAGCAAATACATATTTCTACCTACTAAGAAAACAAATTCAACAGTGGTGAACTATTGAGGTCTAGTTGATCATTAAGTGAAATGTTGAGAAATAGAACTATTGAATCAGTTTTGTTAGTAGGTAATAAAATATATTTGCTATCAACTCATTCAAGTTGATCTGGTACACCGTATTTTGAAGTAGATATTGAGCCTATTTTTCGAAAATGAAGGTTTATCGAACCTATGTCCACAGGTAATTATTTTCCTTCAGGTTGGGAAAGTAGGATATAAAGAAGTTAGGCAAGCCAAGGTTAGTTTAGTTCATCGTACCAGTATTTCACCTGATGAAGCTACTGTGTTAGCGAAACATGTCGTTTGATTGAGAATTTTCGATTCAGAAGTTTTCACATTTGCCATGGATTTTTATCAAGTCAATTCAGAATCTTCAAGTCAATCAAATATTTCGAATTTTGAATAGTTATTGAAGAATCTGAATCCCTGATTCCAGATTCCGAACGAAAAAACTCATCAAGGGAATATTTCTGTTAATACAGATCTTTTGTTTACCATCTAACGATTCTTGGGGAGTATTCGATTATGTTGAATTTTTATGAAAATATCTAGTTTCAATGGCCCATTTATCATTTCCAGCCCTAAAATTGATTTTGTTTGCTGAGGTTAATTCTTTCGAATTTTACCGACATCTATTCCTCAATTAATTTTGAGTTTTAAGGTGGATTATCATTTGTCAAAAAACTACCAGTGAATATAATGTTGATTCTTTCTCATTCATACTAGGAAGTATTTTTTGATGGATGAAACAAAAAAAATTATATTGTCCAAACAGGTAGAAACCTACAAAACAACATTTGATGAGACGTAGAGAAATATACGAAGTGTTTAGTTCTAAAAAAGATAGACATAATATTATAAATAATAACACTACTAGTGATTACTGAAAATTAAACGAATAAAAAAAAACTATTGGATTCTGCAGAGTAGTGGTGATGATGGAAATTAAGTTACATAGATGAATCTTTGAAAATGGAAAATGGTAATGTTGATGAAACATAGTTACATAGTTAAAAAAAACATTGAAAATTCTACAGATGTTGTGGATTGGTGATTCTATAATTACATTTCTTTCTGGAGATCTGGATCTCTCCTTGCTGATATTTAGGCGTGGTAATACAAATGTTATTTGTGAAAGCAATCCAGGACAGTATTCAACTTGCTTTCTTGTATTTTCATGCTACAGCTTCCACATCGTATTTACTGAATCATATTTGACTCATCTCGTTATGTATTTCATCATCCGAATTTTTTGTGAAGACCTTCTCGTGAAGTTGCGGCTGTATCTAAGGTAGTGATTTTGAAGATGAGATATACCAAAATTAGTGAATCACACTATGTGAATACATATCAATTTGATCCAAGCCTATAGGTGAAACATTTTTGAAGACTAATTTCCTATCGAAGGAAAGATAATTTATATAGTTGGCAACTAATTGAGTATTCATAATATGTTACTCTATAGATCGTTTAATGACAAATCAATTAATTAACGATCACGTATGTACCCCACGACTATAATTAAATTCATATTCATCAGTATCACAGTATCAGACATTTTTATTGCAGCAAAGCTAGTCGATCGAGAGGTTTGACAGTGATAGTAGACGCAAGGAAAGGACCTTGGAAAGTAGCAAGATCGTGCATTCGACAAATAAATGCTGTTTTCTCTGCCGAAGAACTATGTCAACTGATAGTCTTGCGACCAGATGCATTCTTGGACAAGCAGAGAGTGGAGAATTGTACATCGGCACCAAAAAATAAGAAGGTATTGCTTATATTTTTCATCAAACTTCTTTATCGCCTCATCTTGTTAATCTTCTCTACAATTCAAATTGTTGTATATTTGAAGAAAGCAATTCGGACCATTCAGCATTTCATATACTCTGTTCAATCATAATTGGTAATCATTTGAGCCAATCTAGAATTATTATATGATTCTCTGACATTTCACCTAAGATTGGTTGTGATTCCACCAAACAGTTCACGTTGTTCACAGATTTTTCTGAGTTTCTGTTCATCAGAAACTTGGTGATTCTTGATTAACTGGCATTACAACGATTGATTAATAAAAAAATTCTTTCGATTTGAAGATATTTTTTCTTTCAAAACTTCAATCTAGATCTGAATACCTTCATTTCAAATTCGATTTCATCAATGAACTCCATTGGTCAGTTATACTTATAGCATGAAACATTGATATTATTCGATTTCCCGAGGAATTGAAGAATCCAGCTTCATCAAATGTCCAATTCTCAGTTACATTCGATGATATCCAAATCCTTCCAGATTTGAATGCTTCCGCAGGATTTGAGTCATCAGAATGTTCCATAGTAGTTCTCTCCGTAATGTTCGTCAACGAAGTATTAATTTTTGATTGCTTGGCAATGTTATCGCGAATATTCCTTCATTCGAAGTTTCCTGAAAATTTACGGATATCAACTTATAGTATCCACCATTCTTCCACCACTATCTGCCTAAAATCTACTACAATTATTTCAAATTTTTCGAGGATTTATATATACTTTTCATAATGTCTGATGTTGGGGTTTCATTATAGTTATATAGTTTCAAATTGGGCTTAACATACTTGATGAAGATTATCAAAGTCTAAGAAAACAATTGATTATAAATTTCGAAAAACATGAGTATTAAGAAATTAACTCTCACAATTCATTTCAAATTTAAAGCGGTACCATTGAGTGTAAATAATCAAGGGCGGTACACATTTCAAGGATGTGTCTAGCTGATTCATCAGAATGGTGGTGATATCTCAGTTGAAATTTAATAGCAGGTAATAATATTGTTGAAACATGATACCTAGTAGGAACTAATGAAAACAATCTGGACAGAAAATAAATATCTTATGTATTTTGTCAGATATCTTAAGATCCTAAGATACCTCATAAGGTTACTGATAATCCAATAGTAACTTGGAAATCAATTTCTCCCCAAATTTCAATAACTGTTATACTACGTAGATACTCCATGACCTGTTATCTGTGGAAGATATTATTACATCTTCGTGATAGGTTTCATACAGAAAATAAATAATTTTTCTGGCTGACACCAATTGCTTGATATTGAGTGTCGAGTACCTATTGAATAAGTTTATTCGAAAATATACGATCATGAGCAGTAGTTGATTGATCCTCCACTTTTCAAAACAGGCATCGATTATTCACGGGAATATTCACCTCGCCATATTTACAGCAAAATAAATTCTGCTGCAATACGGTATCCCATGCGTGCAAGAATTGTCAGATGACCGACCCTGGGGGTGAAACATTGGTACACAACCTCACTTTTCTTTTTTGTTTTCGGCTATTCATTAATTTGCGCACACCATCACATTGTGCTCTTGTACAATGCACAAAAAATGCAGATTGCAGCGAGAGACGAAGGAATCCAGTTCGGTTGGTAGATTATGATATAAAAGTGAGTACCTACTATTATAGGCCACACGTTTAGACCGTATGGATATTTGGTATGCTTACCAAGGTGATCTGATCAAATTCGAACCAAACACCTTAGTTATCGCAAGTTCACACCTTGTATTCTTCGTTGACTAACGTTACCAACTTTGTGTTGATTTGATTATCATTTTGGGGTTAGGTTGTGGAACTTCACTTGTATACGTAAATATTCGAAAGCAAGATTCAAAATTAGCTGAAATTGAATGACATATTGTTTTGTAGAATCATAAAACAACTGACACTTGCACTCACCTGAAGCCAAGGCTGTACAAAAGTCCACAGTGTTTACACCGTCTTGGTCATCATACTATTTCAGTCTGGTATAAACGTGGCCAGTCACTCATATTTTGTTTTCATTTTGAAATTTGGTAATCTCTCTGATTTCTCATCGGAATTCCTTCTGCAATAGCAGCTAATAGAGATACTCTAAAAGAATGCAAGAAGATTGGATTCATGCAATCAAACAGGAGGACTGGTATGACATCCTGACGAAATATGATCATGTGGGATGTAGACATTTCCAAAATTAGCAGTATTAGCTTCTATTGTAGAAGTGGCAGAAGGAATTTCGATAAGAAATGACAAAATTGCACAATGAAAACTATGTGAGATTACTCTCTACTCAAAAAAATTATATTCCTTCATCCCTCCCTGCATTTTTTGTGCATTGTACAACAGCACAATTGGAAGAAGGCATGCTTGAATCAATGAATAGCGCAAAAAACACGATTCGTATGCCATAAAATTGTGAAGAACTATTTCAATCATTTGATTTATCTCTGAACAAATAAAAATAGTAAGGTTGTGTTTCAATGTTTTACAGAAAGGTGAGGTAGTGTTCCAATGTGTCACTTCCATGTAATGGTCGGTCATCGTGCACGCGACCTTTTGGAAACGACCTCTGTGTGTGTGTGAAATGTTTGTATTCTTCTAGGTTATATTTATCCCACGTTCCCGTCTGAACAAGTTTGTGGACTTGTCTGGACTTCCTACGGAACTTGGCGGTAATTTGGTATACAACCATGATAAGTGGGCCGAGAACAGACAGGTATGAATATATAGATATCTTGTACTAGTATATTGTGCGAGATGGAATAAAATAAAAATAAATAGCATTTTGTTGAAAATTCTGATGATCCTGGTATTCAGAAAAACTATAAATACTTATACTGACTTTTTAAAACCAGGGTGAGTGAAATTCGAGTATATATGCATGAGAATTACGGAAACAGTGAGAGCTACAGGCAAAGCACTTTTCGCAAAAATTGTTTCTCCAATTTTGAACAACAGGAAAAATAAGATCATATCATGTGATACATCATTGTAATCAGAAAAAGAAAAGACTTTTCAAAACTGCAAAACTCTTGAGAAAAACAAAGTTGAGTGTTGTAACTTCGTCATCAAGAACGTCATGGAAAATACGATGACAGATTTGGATTCCTTGTGAAAAAGTGCAATAAGAATGTCCTAGTCAGAAACGTCTAGGTCCTCTTGTATTCGCTTGAAGAAATAAAAACGAGAATCACAAATTTTCGTTTTTTCAAATAATTCAATGGGTAGCTTCAATAATAAATATGTGCTTGGATCATTGGAAGTATCAAATAAATTGTAAATATACATGAAACGATAACGGGAATGAATTATGTAAGAATCTAAAATATTCAGCAAATAAATTATTTCTTTGTGGAAATAAGCTATAGTAATTCAGATCAGTCCATAGTGACAGGATATCAGTATCAATAAAACATTGTTTCACCTGCAGCAGCCAATTATATTTTGGGTCAACACTGTTGGAAGAACAGGAAAACTCATTCGAACACTCATTATATTTTATTATTTTGACATTGATAGTTTTTGAAAATATAAAATAATTTGTACAGTTTCTGTCAATAAAATCCTTGAAAACTTGCTGATTTACTGGAACTCAAAAGGTTATGGGCCCTTGCTTCCTCTAAAGAAGAACATACTTCAACGGATTACATATATGATACAAGGAGATCGATTATTGTTTCCATAAAGTATCACCTGACAGAATTGACAAAAATGGATAAGTTCCCTAAGTTTGAGAAGCTTCATGGATCATCTAATTTTCATTCATGGAAGACATTGGTCTTCGCATACATGGATTTGTATAATCTATATAGAATCACTACTGGAGAAGAAAAAAATCCCAGAGATAATCCACCGCGGACTGAGTCAACGAATGAAAATTATCCAGAGGTAATGAACATTTTCGAAAAACAGTGTGAAGATTGGAGGTACAGGCATTCACTTGCCAGAGCATTTATCCTGTTCAAACTCAAAAAACACCATTCATAATAATACGCTTTTGTCGTTCAAAACATAGCTTTGGGTATCGATGGTTTTCCATCAACAAAATCTTGCAAATCCAGTTGATGGATATTTTGAGAATATTATAAGCAAGTGTTACCCTTCCAGTGTCTAAGCGAACAATTGCGTAATTGCAAAGAGTGTCAGTTTGACAGTTGAAATAATCCGACCGCGAGGCGGAAGGATTATTCATTTGAACTGAAACGATTTGTAATCATGCAGGAAGTTTCAGATGTATAACCATGACTTGTTTGAAGTTACTAAAGTCCTGATTGGCGGAGTTACTCTATGTATATACACGTATATTCGAAATCATGCAAGGTAACTTAATTTATTTGATCGTTCTGATTGGTTCAAAATCATACGAAGGAAATGATCACTTATAAATTTCGTTTACAGAAAGTGGAAGAATTCTATACGGACTGTGATATAGCCCTGAAAGAGTTGAACGAGCTTCATGAGTTAGTTCTCAGAAGCCAATCATTAAGGCCAAGTCAAGTACAAGATGCCATAAACACTATTTCCGATATGGCAGAGTCGACGAAAATGTTGGTATTCAACGCGACGGAAACAGGTAGGTCATAACGTCATAAAGCACTCTAAAAAAAAACAAATCGAATGTTCCTATTGAATCTGGCTTCACCTTGCTTGATTGCTTGCTTCAATAGGCAATAAACTCGGTCGAAGATAAGACCCATCAGAGTTTGGAAACAACAAGTATTGCATATAGAAAGAATGTATGTACAGGGTGATTCGCCATAAAAGTCCCCCCTGTAGCGCACTTATTTTTGAACCGATTCAAATATTTTAAAAATCATCTGAAATGATATTTCAGAATTTTTTTCCCGTTATTGCATCAGAAAATAGAGGGTGCTCGGAACAAACAATCTACAGAGTACTACTTGATTTTTTCAGATGGAACACCCTGTATTTCATTTTATTTTAAGATTCTCCCTGAAGAGTTGATTTCTTCAATGCATCACACTTGAGGTCTAGCGGAAATGATTACAGAGATATAGGGTGTTCAAAATTGAGATTTTTCAACTTTAGGATTTTTTTGTAACGAAACTATTCATTATTGGTCAAAACGGCTTCAAGATTCCGAAATCAGATCACCCTGTATCTGTTCCGATTATTTAAAGTCAGCAGATAGTAAATCAAAAGTTAAGATACGGATATGAAAGCCGATTTGACCGATAATGAATAGTTTCGTCACAAAAAAATCCTAAAGTTGAAAAATCTCGATTTTGAACACCCTATATCTCGGTAATCATTTTCGCTAGACCGCAAGTGTGATAAAATGATGAAATCAGCTCTCCAGGGAGAATCTGGAAATACAATGAAAAATAGGGTGTTCCATTTGAAAAAAAATCGAATAGTACCCTGTAGATCGTTATTTGTTCCGAGCACCTTGTATTTTCTGATGTAGCGGAAAAAAACTATATCGAAAATCATTTTAGATTATATTTAAAATGTTGCAATCGGTTCAAAAATAACTGAAGTAGGGGAGGGAGACATTCATGGTGAATCACCCTGTGTGTACTATTGTTTGTTGAAGGGTTCAAAATTTCAATTTCGAAAACGACTATGAGGCAATTTTTTTAAAAAGTGGGTTAGTGGAGCATATCTGATTCAAACATGAAATACTCCCATAAAAAAATAGTAATTCAATGAATAACTAAAATTATCGCGTTTTAGATCCACCATTGTCATCGAATCCAAGGAATTGATATGAATAGTAGACAGGAAGATGTCGATCTGGGTCAACCAAAAGTCAATAAAACTAAAGTTGAGGTTCACCATTTTGAAAACTAAAGAAAACCGTTCATTAATTCATGAAATTTCTCATCAGTATGAAGAATATTCCCTGGAATTTGTTACAATTATTTATATTCTCAGGAAGAAAGAAAAAACATATGAATTTCAATGAGAGAATTCAATTTCAATTTCATTCATTTTTAGGTTGACCTAGAGAGATTCCCTGTAGGAAGTTATAACGATGAAACTTCTTATCTAAGTTCTCCATATATTTCTCCAATGACTACTTCACTGGTGACTTCAATTATATACAGGGTGAATTGAAGGAGCAAAGATATTAGAATTTGCTATCGAATATAAACAGCAGACTATGACGTTGAAATATTGTATAGGCTATCCACTTTTTCACGAAAAAGTTGCTTGATGACCGTTTATGGAATTCTGATCAATTCATGAAAAGATAGTATAGGCCTTGGAATTTTTATCACCCCAGATTTGTCCATATTTTCGAGGATTGCTATATCATCACAATATTTCAATATATTCAAGATTATTTATCATCTTCGATAAGTCATTCTAATCACCTCCCAGGTGATAAGTTCTAGAATAATATTCCAAATTTCCCTAATTGTTGCTGAGATTGTTCAATAACTTTGGTCTACAGCGATGGATGACTGAATAAATATTAATTTTGTGAAAGCAAATGATCGTCGTGAATAAATAGGTTTCATTCGGTGAACATTTTCATACTTGACTGGAGTTGTATTCCAAATCGAATATCATTTGAATTGCATTAATCTCCATTTTCATCGTGGGTAATCATCAGAATCGAATTGATTCACCAGTTCATTGACATAATTTGGGTCACTTGAATCCATGTGACATTATCCTCATTCTAACCGCTCTCTGATATTAATATGAAACCTGTTGCATTCACGAATTCACCCATGAAGAACCGATACCTAACTATTTGTAATTTGTTTCAGGTAGAGAACTTGTCGAAAACATCGAATATGAAAACAGAACGCAAAAACTAGCTACAGAAAACTTCAGCCTAACCTCAACGCCACAGGACACTTTAGATACGATAGAGAGAATAGACGAAATAGTGGTAGCGATAAAGAAGAAACAGCAGCAAATCGAAAATGCGTGGACTGCCATGGAAAAGACATTCATCAATACCAAAGATCTGAGTGATTTAGAAGGAAAGATTGACAAAGTCACCAACTGGATACTTGGACATGCTGAAAACTTGCTCAATTCCAAACAGAAAGTAGGCTATGACGTTGCTTCAGCTGAGGAACTGAGAAGAGAACACGAAGCTATAGAGCTGGAATGCTGGGAAGCATATGGATCGTACGCTGAGCTCATCCATAGAATCAAGCAGTTGTCGAATAATGAATGCTCAGCTTCACAACTCAAGGATTTAATATCACAGAAGGACTTCATGGATTTTGTTTGCAAAAGTTTTGCACTGAGACTGGAAAGAAGGAGGAATATCCTCATCACTTCTTTGAGGTTCTTCAGGCTTGTTTCGGAGTATTTCGATAGGACTGGTGAAGTTTTTGATGCGTTAGTGATGGGTAGCAATATCGCCGATTTCGAGCTGGCGGGTCAAAAATTGAAAGAATTACAGGAAAGTCAAGCAAACTTAGGTAGGTAATTCGTACTGGAATTAATGTAGTTGATGTGTTGTTATAATTGAATGTTGAACATATTCTCTCGATATATTCAAGAAAGTCTCAGTGTGTATTTATTTCAACGACCACTAGAATGCTTCTTCTGAAATGAATAATTGGAAGGCACACGATCATAGTTAATCATCTATAGGTTCGCCTACTTTTTCTTGAGAGTCAGAATTCAAACGATCATGAGAAAATAAATATATCATTTCACAAAAACAGACATAAGAAGATAGGTAATATGCTTGAGTCATCAGCAGTTCAAGTGAATCACTAGGCAATGAAGAATTATCATTTCTTGTCAATGAAATTCAGATACATCTGTTACTTTATTCATACTTTCAATACGAATCATTCTGATCTGCGATATTTTAACAAATTGTAGAGGTAAATATCACCGAATAGGAAAAATATATGAATATCGGGAACATAGGGCCCTTTCTTCCGTACGAAAATTATAGCACATTCGTACACTCCGTGTGTAATATACACCGTATTTGAGCATTCTTTTGGAAAGGGCATTTCTCACCAGGGTAGTTTGTCTCCACATGGTCTTGGGTAGGTGTGAATTAGACTCGAATTGAAGAATGAATAAAATCTCGATGAATGACTCGAAATAAATAATGATATTATATTCATAATAGATATACACCTATACTGGGAAATCATTCACATCAAACAATCAATTTTTCACACAGGAATCGTTCTATACAACTCATTACCAAGTCATTTGAGGAATATACAGGAAGCAACTAGATTCAAAATTAACTTAAAAAAATATCTGCTTCAGAGACTTTGATAATTCCATTTCTTATTTGAATACCTACTTATAAAATACTAGGTTGAAATTGCATGATTATTTGCATTTTTTTTTTTTTTAACTTGTTATATCTTATTATAATTTGTATAATGTTTATGTATCCCTATTATAAACAACTATGTTTCTTGGGGTAATAAAGACAATCAATCAATCAATACCGTATTCAAAACTTCAAATGGCACTTTTCCTCTTCAATGAAATTTTTTTCGTTCGTTTGAAATTCGTTGGTGTAGCTACAGAAAAGTTTAAGTTAATTCATAGTGTAGTGCATTTTACACGTCACTGAAAAGTAGACGATAGAACCCATTTAAACTGATCGAACAAAATTGGGAATATTTTTGAACGCAAAAATAACATAGATATAATAGTAGCTATGCCACTTTTAAAAAAATTTTATCTTCGTAGCAAAAACAATAGCCTCAACTATTCTCGATCAGTTTATAAATTCAACTTGTTTGATGTTTTGCAATTCATTTGCATCCAATTTCAACATTATGCTTGCAATTGAACTCATTATTTCCACCTTCTGGCACTTCTTCTGTAGCTGATAATTATAAATGACTGATAATATATTCAATAATGAGTATGTCTTTTTATTCTAGACGAAGTAGAATGTGAATTGAGGAAAGAAGGCGAAAAACTCTCCGACATGCTATCTATGCCGGTGAAGGATTCATTAGGCAAAGAGTTAACTGTTGATTACACCGAAGATATAGTTAATATCAGAGACGTATTGGACGCAACGACAGCGAGAAAGAATATCTTCTCTGACAGTATCGAATTGCAAAAACTCACTCTGAAACAGGTTACCCACATCGATTGCTACGAAAAAGATACGGTCCAAGCGATACAGTGGTTGGACGATCTGTTGCAAGTGATGCTGAAAGATCACGGGCACGTTGGGTGTGTCGTATACGAGGTCCAGAAACAAAAGGACGAGCATCAAAGTTTCCAGGAGACGGCCAAGGTAGGCATCATATTCATATGGAACCATATCTCACGAGCGTCTAGCTAAACCATTTCCATTGGTGGCTCTCTCTACATGACGTCACTGACAACACGTGATATCTGCGAGATGGGTTCAATCCCTGTGATGGTCAACGATTTTATGATTCTCTTCTCTCAAGTTATATTCAAGAGAATAAAGTTCCTAGAAAGAAGCTTCATTTAGACCAATTTAGGTTGGATTATTCATAAAAAAAGTCTCCTGTGTTATAATTATTACGTCTTCGGATTCCAAAGCTAATGAAAATGGTATAGCTAGCTGATTGTCCATCAAGTCTACGATCATGTACTTGAATTCGTTAACGATATCGCACCTATTTCAAATTCCTCGTAGTTCCTCTATCACATTGGCTCAGTTGAAATAACGTAATATGATTGATTGGTTTTGTAGTGTTTCGGAAAACTATACTCCGAGAATCCTAGTAATTTGACTAGGGATAAAAACTACACAAATCGTTCTTCAAAAATCTATTTGACAACAACCAAACAACATCACAATTGTTCCTTACCCAAGGCAACCTTATTCATGTACAGTGCGATAGATATATGTTATATTTTAAATATACCACAATATCTCCCCCTTTAAATGAAAAAAATTCAGTCATATGACAAACGATCAATTGGTTTCACATTTCTTTTTGGTCTAACTCTAATCGGTACGTCCGCCTTGATGACTTCAGTGTTTCCCCTATCACTAGAATTGTGAGAACTCGAAATGATAATTTCCTCATCAATTATCTGAGTGGATTTATCAATCGAATTATTGGTTTCCATACCAGAAGGAAGTGAGTTTTCTTTAAAATTATGTTTTTTAATTTGATTCAAATGTCGCTTCCATACAACATCAAGTTCGGGAATCTGAATTGTATAAATCGACTTTCCTAATCTGTCCAAAATTATTCCTTTGATCCAAGTAGGTTTTCTCACATTTTGATAATTTTTCACGATTACCATTTCACCTTTCTCAAACTCAATAAATCTAGATCCCCCGTGATAAAATTTCTGTTTCTCCACCTTTGCTGCGATATGATTTTTTATATCTTGATTTTGTGAGACTTTTTCTGGTAAAAGTACATCAAACCTTGTTCGCAACTTCCGTCCAAACATCAAATCGGCTGGACTGCGGCCAGTAGTGCAATGTATGGTGTTTCTATAGTCGAATAAGAAATTGTTCAATACTCTGTTTAAATCAATAATTTCATTTTTTCCTAGGGCATTTTTCAGAGCGTTTTTCACTGTTTTGACTGAGTTCTCCGCTGCCCCATTGGAAGATGGTTGAAAGGGTGGAGAAGTCACATGTTCAATATTATTTTGTTTCAAAAAAATCTGAAATTCATTGGAACAAAAAGTTGACGCATTATCTGTAAGAACTTTCCTTGGAAGTCCAAACCGGGCAAAAGTTGTTCGCAATATTTCAATCGTTAATTTAGATGTAATTGAGCTCATTGGAAAAACCTCAATCCATTTGGAATGAGCATCCACTAAAATTAAAAATTGTTTGAGTAAAAATGGACCCATAAAATCAAGATGAATACGAGACCATGGTTCTTCAGGCCAAGGCCACTTAGTGAGTATTGCCTTGTTGGGTGACTTTTTATTCAATAAACAATTTTTACAATTATTGCAAATCTCCTCAATATTTTTATCTAATCCAGGCCACCAGAAATATGATCTAGCCAAGCTTTTCATCTTAACCACTCCCATGTGTGATAAATGAAGTTCCTTCAGAAGCGATTTTCTCAATTTAGATGGAATCACTAACCTATTGTTCCATAATAAACAAGTTTCTTCAATGCTCAGTTCATTTTTCAACTTACGGTACGGGTGAAAATCTTGGCCTACCTCTCTGGGCCACCCAGACTGTACATATTCAACAACTTTTGATATTACCTCATCTTGTTCCGTGGCTTGCTTGACTTCTTGGAAATCAATTGCAAAATGCTCATTATTAGAAAATAAATTGATAAAATTTATATCAACGTTTTCCCAACTATTTTCATCACAAATTTCTGGTAATCGAGACAAACAATCGGCTAAATTTTCATTCGATCTGACGAACTTAATCTTATAATTATAATTTGATAAAATAACTGCCCAGCGGCGAAGACGGTTAGCAGAAAATTGTGGTATTCCCTTTTCTGGGTGGAAAATAGTTAGTAGTGGTTTATGATGTACTTCCAAGATGAATTCTCTTCCATAAAGGTATTGATTGAATTTACACAGGCCAAAAATTATTGCTAAAGCCTCTTTTTCAATTTGAGAATAATTTTTTTCCGCAGCCGTTAAGGTACGAGATGCGTAAGAAATTGGTTTTTGGGTTCAATCAGACATAACATGTGTTAATATACCTCCTACTCCATAACTAGATGCATCAGTTGTCAACTTCAGTGGTAATTTCGGATCATAATGAACCAAAACCTTAGAAGAAATCAACATATTCTTAATCAAGCTAAATGATTGATCACATTCTGATGACCAGTTCCATTCTATGTCTGCTTTCAATAAATTATATAATGGATGAAGAATTGTTGATAAGTTTGGTAAAAATTTTCCATAATAATTTATGAGACCTAACCATGATTTTAGTTGAGTGACTGTTTCTGGAATGGGAGCATTATTAATAGCTGAAACTTTGTCCTCCGCAGTATGTAATCCTTCCCGATCTATCACAAAACCCAGGTATTCAATTTTTTCTTTGAAAAACTCGCATTTATTTAGAGATATTTTCAACCCAGATTCTTGCAATTTGGTGAGAACTTGATTCAACCGGAATAAATGTTCCTTTCGATCACAACCACTCACCAAAATATCGTCCAGAAAAACCACTACCCCCGGTATACCTTCCAAAAGTGATTCCATTAATTTCTGAAATTTGGCAGGAATGCTGGCAATTCCAAAAGGTGCTCTATTATAACGGAATAAACCCTTATGTGTTGATAAAGTTACCAAATTCTTTGATTTTTCATCAAGACATACCTGAGTATATGCATTAGCCAAATCTAATTTACTATAATGAACGCCACCCTGTAATTTGACAAATAATTCTTCGATGCGAGGAAGGGGGTATTGATCTACTTCTATGAAAGGGTTGAGGGTTACCTTGAAATCACCGCATAGTCTGACCGATCCATCTTTCTTTAAGACTGGAACAATCGGTGTTCCCCAAGCGCAGTAATCAATAGGTTCAATAACTTTCAACTCTTTCAGTCTATCTAACTCCCTTTCAACCTTCTCCCTCATGGCAAATGGAAGCGGTCGAGCTCGAAAAAATTTTGGTGTGACAGATTCATTTTTCAAATTAATAGATATAACACCTTTAGTAAAAGTACCAAGTCCCGGTTCAAATACCGAATTAAATTTTTTGAATAACTCTTTCAGATCATCTGGTGAATCTATATGAAAATTGTTCGCAATGTTGAGTTGAAAAAGATTGAAAAAATCACGACCCAACAAAGGTGGACCTGAAGCACCCTGTATAACATAAATATCTATGGAATTAGTTTTTCCTTGAAAATTCACATTGCAAATCATATATCCTTTGGGAATAATTTGGTCTCCATTATATAAATGGAAAATTTTATCCGTTTCATATAGCACTTTACCACTGAAATACTCCGCAAAGAATTTTTCCGATATAACTGTGAAACTTGACCCAGTATCGAGGTTAAAAGTTAAAGGAATATCATCGATCTTCAAATTTATTAATATTGGATCAACTTTAGATTCCATATTATAAAGTGAAAAATCAGACTCTAAATAGTTTTGATGGTGAGAGTTGTTAAAATTCCTTTTAGTTTTATTTCGTTTCTGGGTACACATTGGAGCTAAATGACCCTTCTTGTTACACACGTGGCAAAAACATTCTCGAAAAGAACACTCATCTGCTAGATGGTTCTTCCTTCCACATACTTTACACTTGGTATTTTCCGATGAAGAAGAAGCTGGCTGTCCTCTTGACGATGATGACTGTTGTCCTCCGGACGGTTTCTTCAGCCTACCTCTGTCCTGTTGGGATTTGACATAGTGTACTTCTGTTTCCTTCTTCACAACTATTTCTGAATTTGCAGACATGGAAGATGGCTTAGCTGCAGATTTCATCGTAGCAACTTCTACAACACTTTTGAAAGTTGCTGTCTTCTTTTCTTCGAAAAGACGATCTTGTACTGGTCCTTTATCATAACCAATGATAAAATGATCACGCAATGCTACTTCCAATTGATCGTGCTCAAAGTCGCATAACTCAGCCAAATTCTTCAATCGTGCCGACCACTCTCGTGCTGATTCATTGATAGTTTTGCGCGACATATAAAATTTATATCGTGCAGCAAATACACTCAAACTTGGTTTGTAATGTTCCGTCAATAAAGCAATGAGTTCAGAATACTTCTTCGTCTCTGGTTCAGCAGGCAAGCATAGATTGTGTACCAGTTTATATGCTTCTTCATTGAGCACATTCAGCAATATCGCCCCTTTCCGCGAATCGTCCTTAATATCATTCGCCACAAAATAATTATCAATCCGTCTCTTGAAAATTGACCAGTCTGACACTGACGGATCGAATTCTCGTAAATGACCAATGTAATCTAACATTTTTCGAATTTGAATATACAAACAGAATCAACGCGTGGTATCTTTTGCGAAAACTTAAATTTCAAACTTCCGCACTCAAACTTCTCCTTTTCTAGTATACTTTTCAGTGGGTGTGTACTACTGCTATCCAACAGAGGCCCTTCATATCACGATCATGAGATTTTTTCAGCTTTTCTTCCCTTCAAAATATCTCAAACCTCGGTAGTCAAAAAGATACGTCTGATACTGTTCGATCGCTCTGAATTTCTCTTGCAATTCCAAGATTGTGTTTGAGATGAACATCATACATGCTGGAAGGTCACCTATCGATACCAAATTTATACCTAAATTCACCTTATAGAATTATTCAAGTTCTTTCAGATTCATTGCACTATTGTTCACTGGCGAAGTATTCTTGCTCAGTTATTCACTGATTATTTACATGATCAAGAGGAGAATATTTTGAAACAATCGCTCATGCCTCATTCTTTATTGATGATGCTGGGTGTACCACAAAATAAAGCAGCAACTTCTTATATCATAAATGAATGATACCGCGGTTCATATAACATTTTCAGAATGTCTGCTATCTATTGATGATGAAAATGTATATTAAACTTGTGGACCCAAGTGACACCCAACTACTTCAATCTGATCTTGATTGAATCTATCAGAGGAGCGATATCAATCAACTTCCTTTGAACATAGAAAAGTGTTTTTTCGTGGCATACACTCTTGAAACAGTTGAAACTGATTATACTTACTGCATTGATGTGAGTTATCACTAAAAAAAGTTGTAAGAAGTATATTACTTTCAGGAGTCCACATCTAAAAAATATTTAACAAAGCGTATGGAACCCTACGATTCAATACAACAAACTCGATAGAATTCAACTGTGATGTGATGAAATATGTGTGGAATTGCTTCGTGAGATCCAGATAGAATGACTATATCTTATAATGAATGTTTCCAGGGCACCTACAACTATGGCTGTCAACTCCTGAACGCCTCTCTGGTCCTCCGACAGTCCTGCAAGCTACCGCTAGATGGGCACGCCAACTTGTATCAAAAACTCAGATCTTCTTGGCAGAGGTTACTCAGCGTCAGCCAAGAGCAGATGACGAGATTGAGGGTATCAGCAGTTTTCCACAGATCAGTGGAAGAACAGTGCAATCAACTGAGGGACCTCAGAGAAGCTGTAGCGACGATTCCACTACTGGAGTTTCATAGAAAGAGAGAAATTATCAATTATTATGTTGGCATGAGGGAGAAATTGATCGTTGAAGTTGGTAGGATGGTCAGGCTAGGAAGGCTTTTGAGGAGTAGATTACGCGAACCACTTTATTATGAGGAGAAGTGAGTAGATCATGAAAATGGGTTAATCGCGATGATTCACATTTAATGACGGTTAACACAAAACTGCTTAGTAACAGCGGTATGACAAAGATGAATTAGTGAATGATCTGAAGATTTTTCTCAACAAGTGAGATTCTTCACTTGAAAAGTATGATAATGATCAATTAATGAATTCTAGCTCTGGTATAATACCTATCATAATGAAATGATGAAGTAGTAAAAGAATCTGTAGGTAATAAAGCTGACATGTGAAAATAATTCCAATAGCCTCATCAATTTTGGTTTATCAAGAATAAGGATATATCAATATGAATACGATGTCTCCAAAGTGTTTCTTTTAATTTCTTTCTATTTACTGCTGAATACGGATTATTCTCAATTATCTCCAAAAGTTGAAGCGAGGTTTGAAATCAACAAATGGTGGTTCATTCCAAATCAACTACATATAGTTTCCAATGAAGAAAAGACGAAAAATTTCATATATTCGAATCAAGAATAGCTAGTACTGATGAAATACAAAGTGAAGCCTCGTACAGTGGATTTCTAGGACTAAATAATGATGAAAGACTCTTGAATGGCCATTTATCTAGAATATATAGTACAATCGTCTTTAGAGAACATGTCGCACATGGAAGGTGTCAGCTCTCTTAATCACTGCTGCATTAAGAGCGCTCATACCGTCCAACCGTGACATGTTCACTGAAGACGAGTGTACCTAGTGCCTATAGGCTGAACTCTGCAATCTATGCTATGCGAGTACAATAATCAAAAACCAACTCAGCTTTTATCACAACGTGTTACTCCAATTTTGAATCAATTCTCAGGTATGGAAGAAATATTTACATTAACTCTTTCTTACGCAAAAATATGCCATGAGAAGCATTGTGGAGGTGAAAAAAGAGGTCTTCTGTACACCACTGTTGATAAAGCTTGGAAAAGTGACACTTTACTAACTAATTGTGATTGCATAACTTCTAGGTCAAGGATAATATGAATTTTTATCAGTTACATTTTGATGTTCACTCTCAAATCTCCATCAGGAGCAGTAATGATGTGTTATTGCCACTTGAACGTTCGAAAAGATGTGATGATATAGAAGTCGGACTTCACTCAACTAATAACCCAAAGAATTTCGTGACTTCAGGATCAATAAGATCCCCGATAAACCCTGCTATATATAAGGTTGAAGATTCTCGTCAGCTACTGAGAAGTGGTGAAGCCTTCATATACATTCATATTGTTTGAGTTCTGATACCTGTGACAGCAACAATGAAGTGATTTTGATTCCATATAATATATTGAAACCAGAAAAGTTCAAATAAGATTTTACCAAAAAAATCATTGATAAAGAAGTTGTCAGTAACATCTAAACATTCTGATAGAATCAGAAACACGTTTAGTCCAAGAGGGTATGAGTTTTATCCCACAAAAAACTTCTCTCATAGGCGCTTCATCAGCATTAGCATTTTCACCAGCAATCAAATATTTCCATCATTAATACTGCGTATAGGTATTGTCTAGAGAGGTCAATGACTTCACCATCAGCGCCATCAAACAAATTTGGGTGATTTCGTTCATTTCGTGTACATAGAAATGTCGAAAGCCTCCAAAACACCGGCGACTGAACGAGAAGAGCTGAGAGTTCATGTGGTTTGGAGTCTAAATTTGAACTGAGAAATGGTGGGGACTCTGAAATTGTCAGTGGTGACCTGACCGGCATAAGATACACATCTGCTTTAGAGTAAGTGAAAAACATTTGGAGAATAGCTTTTCTGTAGTTCATGTGTGAAATTAACAACAAAAATAACCAAAGACAACAGCTATCAGCTATTGAAATAGACTCGCTCAAGATTATCATTGACAACAAATGAAATCAATTCGACTAATCAAATGTTGGCAATGTTATGAATTTGTATTCAGTAATATGAGTAGTAATACTGGAGGAGTAAGTATTATTTGGCATCGATAGATGGTGAGATATTTTTGACCAGCTTTATTTTATTCGACGTATCTTCAATTTCAATTGATCTTTCATCTTGAAGTCGTATGCCAAGTTCAAAGTTATTCTGGTTTTGTGGTTGACACAACAGATATTGATTCTAGAATATCACATCAAATAAGTTGATTTGGAAAAAAGCAGCATTTGAGAATTTGATACCACAGAAAATTTAAATATGTTGAGAAATTGATGGTTCCCTGATATTCGAATAAATAATAACCAGTCTGTATTTATTCACATTTATTGAAAAGGGTTGTGACTTGTGAGGTTGGTTTATACCTGAAAATGAGAATGTGATTATTGTCTATCGACTTAACTCCATTGCACAAATTGCTCAAATTGATTCCTCATCAATAAATTGCAATCAATCAATATTATTGATGTTTCTCAATTTGCGACCAGAATTCAGGAGCGAGCTCATCTTGTACATGTACCTTGTAGTAAATTTCAATGAGTACATTCATTGATTGAGTCAACATTTCCTTCATTATCGAAATATCAATCCCAATTATCGCTCATCATAATATAGTGCCTACTTCCCGATAATTTGAGATTTATGATTGGGTGTATTGAAATATCTAATATGGAAACAATGTGAACGACAAGTAAAATCAGAAATGATATATTTTTTTAATACATTCTCGTTGTCTGCATGATCAAGACTTTTCAATATGTATTGTACACCTCGCAGTCTGATGCACTATTGGTGTTGCGACAAGAATTGTGAGAGAGTTTGTTCTCTTATGGGGCGCACGAAAGGGAATCTCTATTGTTTCTGCAACATCGTGCGTACAAGCAAAGAATTTCGAAGCTTTGCGATTCTATATACACACATAGAGAGTTTTACATACTTTGAGGTTGACGACAAAAAAATTTTCTGTCATCGCAACATAAAATGACTGAATTATTTGGAACTCTTTATGATACTGAGATGCATAATTTATAGGTCTTTTGAAATCCCATGTTCTTGTTCAATCGGTACAGGTACAGCATATTTAAAATATTTTGTATTCGTGAGTAATGGAAGTATTTTGAAGCTATTTGAGAGTACTTGAAATAATTAATGGGTATTGAAAAATATTTGATATATTTAGAAAAATAAAATATCTTGTTGCAACAGGTGTTTTCATCAATAAGGACGCCTAGTAGTAGTAGAATAAAAAAAGAGTAACATATCACCTGATCATTTGAACCAATCTTCACCTCAAAATTCGAAGAGCAAATCGGATATCTGTCATTTTCATTGGGAGAAAAAATATTTCTATGAATTTTCTCGTCAAGGCGTATTAGATTGAAAGCATACTGCTCTGATTTCGTCCCATCATTTTTGCCCCATTTTCACCCCAAAAATCGAAAAGAAATTGGAAATCAGTCGGTTTCAATGGAGAATATATCTTACTATGGATTTTCTTCTGTCAAAAATAAATAAGGCATATGATTGATTGGAATCCAATTGATGAAAATTGAGGGTGTACGCTATATTTAAAGAGTTGTTCGCCATTCGTGTTCAATCCATTTATCATTTAGGATCATTCCACATTGTGCACTTATTTCACCAAACAATTATATCACGATTGATTAATAGAATGCATAAATCATTTGGCATGAATTCTTGGTAAATATTCGCAAAATAATCCATAACACCTACAATAAATTTCAATGCTCGGTAAATTTTTCGATAAGTAGATTACCAGTTTGTGTATTCGGTGATGATAATCTTACATTCAATGAGCCCGACAGACGCAATGTTATTTTTGGAGACTCGCCCACTTGATTTTCGTGTTTTCTACTGGCTTGTGAACGTCAGTAGGGAAAAATAAACTCATTTGAATTATTTGTACTCAATAATTCACACGGAACAGAACGAAGAATATGATACTGTTGCTGATTCAAATAAGATCAATAAGTTATATCATTATAATCATCCAGTAGGGCATATATTTATAGAAACATGATTTATTCAGCAGAGCTCTAAAAACTACCCATCCTGATGGATCATATATTCTATCTATGAAATGAGTTGGAATGGGATCAAACATCAATAATCATCATCCATCAAATTTTGTTTTATGATATTATCACAGAAATATGGATTTACGAGAAATCGTAGAGTTTCATCGAACATGTAAAAAAGCAACTATAAAATTTCACAATCACGAATTAGTGACATTATCTCTCATCAGATTATTGCGCATATGATATTTCGAACACTTTGACATTCAGTATCAGAAAGTGAGCATCCGGATGACATTTCTCAAACAACAGAATTAGATGCCAATCTTTCATTACTTACTACTTACAATCACAAACAACAAATTAAGCAAACAGCATTCATCATTTGTGATTCATCAGTCTATTTTTCAATGATTCCTCCCTATGAAAAAGACGTAGTAGTAAAATGATTATTCAATTTTGTATAGACAGATATATACCGATCAAATCATCAACCAATATTGGATCGTTTTATTTTCGAAATTGATAGCACTAGGTGATTTCATCAGTCCTTCTACTTCTACTGGTTAATTTCAACTCAAAAGTTCGATCTCTATTATTCATTATGAATCTTCCCTAGGTATTATTCATACTGTGAATAATTCTTGTTTATGTTGAAATTATCCTTACATTTTTATTGATATATGAAAGGAGTCGATGAAGTTCTATATAGTTTTGATAGTTGTTCTTTATGGTAGGATAAACTCCTCGAATTGCTTTCCTATGGAGTTTCTTGAACTATATCTGTCGTTGACTGTGATCTGTTAAACGATATTGAGTTGTTAAAAAAAATTGTCCTATGAAATATCGACATTCGCTAGTCCATGTATACTGACAACTGAATGCTGCCAGTTTATGTTGATAAGAATGAGTTGATCTATTAAATAGTGAAATCAGTGTCTGTGGGATTATGTGAAATTGATATACTCACCATCATATTTGTCCTTGATTTCTCTTACTGTCTAAGAAATTGATTGGATTTCTATTTCCAAAGTGCATTCCATATTTATCAATGAAAGGTCTATTGGATCTTCTGAATCATACTGTCAGGAAATCTTTGTATATAGGGTGAGTCATAACTATTGGTACTTAGGGTAAGGGCGGATTGCTTCGACCCAAATATAAGGATACACGGCATCGGAGTTGATTTTGTTTCTCGTTTTTTGCCAATAATTCAACTGTATATTCATCAATTGTATTCAAAATCGGCACAGAGGCCTAATTTCAGACTGGGAATATTATTTCACTCATTTTCTACAGTTTTCACAGGGGGCATCACGTGAATAATCTCTGATGATGAAATCGACGAAAAAATTGTTTGACGAAACTTTTTAGTGGTTTTGATTTGAAAATATGACAAACATTATTTGTACGTATTATTCGCAATTGAACAGTTCAAAGTCTCAGAAGGGAACTTCAAATATTATTTCATTTATGAAGAGTGTGCTTTGAACTGTCAGATAGTTGTTGATAACGAACTAGATTTCTTGTGAGTGACTGAATTTTGATTCGATTTTATAATCTATACTTCTTCGTTTGAAACGCCCTGTATCTTTCTCCACAGCAATATTTCATTGAGGCCCTTAGCCTATGTCCCAATAGTAATAACTCACTCTGCATACACCAATAAAAAAATGGATTCATAGTTGGATGTTAATATATTGATCGCTTCATGTTATCTTGCAAGTAGAAGGCTCAATGGGGTTTTCATAATAAACCTTGTGCTCTTATCAATTGTGGAGTTATGAACCCAGCGAGCACAAACATCCCTGGGATGTTTTGGGATGTTTTGAAAATGTTGGCATGAAGATGTTATTTTGAGACGTAATATGCACTTTCCAAAGAGGTCTTTGAAGGAAATTGAAGTATTGTTTTTGTTCTTCTGTGGCATTTCTTTGTTTGTCTACTGAGAGAGGTATCCCTGGGATGTTTAGGGATGGTTTAGAAATGTAGGCATGAGGATGTTTTTTTGGGGCGTAATATGCACTTCCCAAAGAGGTCTTAGAAGGATATTGAAAGTATTGTTTTTGTTCTTTTGTGCCCTTTCTTTGTTTGCCTCACCACAACGTCTAATGCTTACGTCACAATACGATGAATTCTGATTTGTTTTCGATTTTGTTCTTCTTGTTCGCAATTGGCATTCGCGTTTGCAGCCAGCGTGTCAAGCTTACATCACGCTGCTAACGATCAGAAAGGAATTTGGTGAAGTTTATTGTGTTAGAAGACTCATTTAGTTTGTAATAATGACCATCAGATGCAAGATGTGTTGTTCGGTGCCTCAGTGTAATCAATATATAAAAGTACGAATTCATCAATACACAGCTTCTGTGCAGTTGCAAAATTATGCATTTGTGGAGAACATTTCAAAAATTGGGAAACCCATTTCCAATTATATGTCTGTGTGTAGTGAGCACTACTCAGAAACCGATTAAGAAGGTAATAATTTCATATCAAGAAAATATTTTTATGTTCAATCTATTTTTAATGCATTTATTCATTCAAGGGAAATGGAATCCTAATGCAGAAGTTCATTTTGACAAGAGGCTTCAGAAAAGTACCTCGAAAATGGTTTTTTCACAGCGATTTATTGTGCGTAAGACGCGTTGAAAATGTTCTGTTGTGTCCATGAAAAGGCTTTGAAAAGAACTAGGGAGAAGGTAGTTTTGTGGCACATCAAGGACATTTCGATAATTGCCGCCTGCGGCGGACATTGGCTGTTCTATATAATAGTTCTATTCATGTGTGAACAGAACATCGCAGTGGAGGTTCAATGTCTCGAAATCTCGTACTCTTAACATCTCTGAGATGTTTTTTTGCTAGCTGGAAAGTTTTTGCCTTCACTATGGACTTCCATCAAGTAAAGGCCTAATCCATCCAACAGTTTGAGATTTCCGGTCCATAACCCTTTTCATTTTCGCTTACTTCATACTTAACATTTTTTGAGGGTCCAATCATAATACAGTAACCTGTGATGAAGTGATTGACCTCACTAACAATAAACCTCTTTTCACAGATTGCTCAGCTCTATCGCAACAATTGATAACGAGGAACTCGATAATTTCTGCGATTCGATAGCAAACAATGAGATAGCCGTCGAGGCGATATCCGAAAAACTAGCCGAAGTAACAGGACTCGCTGCAGAACTAGATCAGGAGCTGCAAAGTGCTCAACAGGACTGCTTGATTTTCACTCCAACATCTACATCTACTCCTACCACGTCATCAACCTCAATAAGTGATCCCATCACAGTATTGTCTTTGAAGAGGGCTATGGAGCACAATCCTGTCCATTCAGAGGTTAGTAATTTCCGCCATTGATCTTATGCATTTGCGAGACGAAACGAATTTTTCCTATCCTGTTTTCCTTCTTTGATTGACGAATCATGAAACTCAGTCATGCTCATGCCCAAATATCAATTGGACAAAAGGGAGAAATCATGGGTTACGTCACTGGTTATTCGATGATGACTTAAATAAGTACAGCCTTTGCTGTCGTTTTCAAAAACTCTATATCTACCATTTCCAGATATTGATACTTTTTTGTAGCTTCATATTGCATTGAGTTGTTCAAAGGTCTCAACTATCGATTATTATTAAAATGATGAAAGCCTCTCAGACTCCTATAGAAGGAAACTCCCATAAGCCAAAGTAATTCAATATAGGTTGAATAATAAGTGAGAAAATTTTAACAGTCAACAAGTTTTATTGCGAAAAAAACAACTTACATACTATAATACAACGAAAAAACAATATACAACATAGGTAGCATCGTAGGTCCAGTCTGATGATTCAAGTCATGAAACGTTGTGGCAGGCGCCCATCTTAACCACTGAGAGCACCGATACCTCCATGTTCCGATTTGCCTTCGTACCTGACCTTGTAGTCGACACCATGTTTGCCAGCAACGTACTCTACGATACGTTTCCTGCCATCAGGTTGAAGGAGTTCGTAACGACCCTTGGTCTCTTTGCCATCTCTCACTTCGTATTGGCTCTTGATGTCGTGGTGCTTCAGATCATGGACTGCGTAGTCCCAGTGGTATTTTGGTGGTGCCTATCAATGGAAAAAAATCACTCATATCAGTAGGTACCTATGGTACATTGAAGTCGCCAGATGATTTTCTAGTCTCAATATCTAACAGACAAATTTCAAAGTAGGATTTCCAAATTCACGATCTCCACAGGAGATCCCTGTTACTTCACACTCGGCTGATAGGAAATATCACCTGATATTATATAATAAGTTAAATTGGATCCTATACAGAGAGGTCTCGGGGTACACAATGAAAAATAGTTATGATGATCATGAGAAAATATCAACACTAGGAGATCATGGAAAAAAAGGAAATATCAACACTAGGAGTCGTTTGTTGAAGATGTGAATATGTATTCGAAGCTACTCCCACACTGACAGTGTTGGGAGAAGTAGGACCAATTCAGTTTCTTCGATGCTGGGATGCAAGAAGGATTAAAATTATTTCGGTTCACTATCGATATATACTTTAAACTATAGGAAGAAGATAGTTAGTGAAGTTTCTTATGTGAAAAACAAGATGCATTTAACTGAGGAATAGGTTGCTTCTAATTCAACAGAGTTAGTTCGTCAGTTTTTGGCTGAGATGTAGAGAGGTTTGTAGCTATTTGTATACACCATCGATGAAAAATCCTACCAATGGGTGATTTTCATGGTTTGAATTATAGTGTTTCGAGTTTTCAAATAACCGAAATGATCTCTGGTTGCTGCAGTTGGAAGTCAGTGAATGAATTTGGGTAAGTAATTCATATGCAGTGAGAAACAAGAGCTGGAGATAATATCGGGTATTGAAATATTGTGGTAGTAGGTGATTGATTCATATTTTGATTACATGAATTCCAGATACTGAATATCCGATATAGTTGAGGAGACATCTCCTAAATAAAGTTAACTTCTGAAGTAGTCCTTCTGAAGACAATATCCAGGGATGGAGACGATATCTCGAAATGCAGTCGATTGTCAAATGGGGGATGATTTTAATGAGGGAGGATGAATTACTCACCTTGTAGTCAATATATTCTTCAAGATGATGGTGGTCTCCTCCTCCTATATCGAGTCCGTGTCCATGGCCTTGGCCATAGACTGATGCTACTGCGATTAAGAGTAGGGCGATAATCTAAAGCAAAAATTATAATTACCATTGGAAATCATCATTACGTACTCAGAAATCACACATCGACCAGATGATTGATATAGATTAATTGAATGCTTGGCTAAGATAAAAAAAATATTCTCTAGAGTCTAGAGCAACTATGAGGTATAACAGACCGAAATTGAGTACAAGCTTAGTACAAAATAGTATGACTTCTTCTGATTGTTGATTACTGGAGAATGGTTATACCTGAGGCAGGTATGATAGATAGAATTTCAATATCAAAAATATATCCGAAATTTTTAGAATATCCAAATTTATGTTTTATGGAAATGTTAGACTTGATAAATATGTACTTACGACTCCACCGTTCATGATGCTTGTGTACCTATGTGTATTTGTTGGACAAATTTGGTTGACTGTGATTGAAACTAATCAAGCTCGGGTATTTATACTAGTTAGTGGTAAAATTTGCGTGAAAGGCGTGATTTTTGTGATATCCATAGTTGACGAATATAACGTTCAAATTCAACTTATTATGAAAAAAAGAATAAAATTGGTTCGGCTGCAAGTAATATATGCATATTAATATGTTGCGAATAACTTTCTATGTCTCTGGTATATCATATGGGTTTCGATAATTAACAATTATATGAAAGTTATGTCGATCGTTCGAAATTATCATTCAGTTAGACCTAATTTATATTGTCTACAAAAAAGTGTCGACAGCCTACTTGAATCATGACATGAAATATTGTGAATGAAAATTATTAATAATAATTGGGCATTCAACAATATCACTGGATTCGCATGGAACCTCTGGAATAACATTATTTTTTGAACTTTTCTGTTGCAGATATCCCATAGTAGATATTGTTTTCAATGAAATACTTTGTTTCTGAATTATCTAATGGAATACCTAGCATTCAATTCCGATAAAATAGATTTCATAATCACAAATTCACAAAAAAATCATTATTGGCCTAAGACTCATTACAAAGGGAAGAAGGAACGCTCAATCATCTCGACAGACATCCGAAATGAATTGATTCGAATGAAGTCATATCACCTGTTTGTGATAGATATAATTCCCGTATCACTGATACGAATGATTTTTTTGGAAGTATTAATCTCATCAAGATACAAGTTTACTTCTCCTATACATTTCAATGTTCATTTCAATAATGAAAAAGTTATATTTTCATATCATAAAACATCATATCAGTTTATCCGTTTTGAGAGAGAATGTCAATTCTAAATTTCAGAGGATTTTCATTTTTCATTTTGGATTTTCAACAGATATTGAACATTGAATTGTTCGAAGTGGCAAATAGCCAGGAAAGTAGTCGTTTTCTTTTGAATATTCAGAATGATGTTATGTGCATATACATATTTTCATCTGGAAAATAATGCAAATTCTCATCTTCAAAAGTTTTTACAGAAGATTTTGTTTTTAAATAGTCAATTCAATGTTCGTCGTGGCATATAGCCAGGAAAGTAGTTGTTCTCTGTGGAATAAACCGAGAAAGTATTGATATTATCATCACATAGAGAATGCGAATTCTCAATTTTAGGTACCGGGTGACCAGTTATATTCTGACCCATTTCAAATGCTTATATCTCTGAAACCATTCAAGTTATCGTTGTGCAGTTTGTACTAGTCTATTTTGATATTTTTCAATTTTTTTTTTACAGGTTCACCTTCCCTCTTGAACATCCGGTTCTACCGGAAACAAACTAGCTATTATTCAGGTATAGGGCAACTTTTTTATTTCATCGAATCACTCTGTATATTTTTGCACATTCAGAAATACTGGTCTTTCCTCTTTCTAACAATGTATAACAAGTTATGTTTGCTTAGAAAACTATCAGAGTTATAACTGTTTGAAACAACTACTGCATGTGGAATGGTTTAATGAGATTTTGCAATGTAACCAAAGTCGTCTTTGGAAATCCTGATCACAACACATGAAATGCCAGATTAGATGTGTCAAATGAAGATTGTCGAGCATTTGTACTTTCTTCGAGTTGAAAAAATGTTTACTTTGACTGTAAAAGCAAATGAACTCAACATGAATCTGCATCAGATTTATACTCAATATACGGTAATTCAGCATTTCAGGATAACATCCTAATATGCAGTAGATGCTTCAAAGAGTTATAACTCTGATAGTTTTCTAAGAAAACATAACTTGTTATACATTGTTAGGAAGAAAAAAGACCAGTCTTTCTGAATGTGCAAAAATATACAGGGTGCTTCGATGAAATAAAAAAGTTGCCCTATACCTGAATACTGGCTAGTTTGTTTCCGGTAGAACCGGAAGTTCAAGAGAGAAGGTGAACCTGTCAAAAAAAACTTGAGAAATATTAAAATAGACTAGCCCAAACTGCACAACGATAACTTGAATGGTTTCAGAGATATAAGCATTTGAAATGGGTCAGAATATAACTGGTCACCCGGTATCATCTCCACAACTTTTTTCAATGATGTAAGTTATTCAGAGGGAGATGTTTCGGATTCATGAAAATCCATCTACAACCCAGTTGGGGAAGTAATTGAGTGGAGTTGAATTTGACTATTGGTTTTTATGTAACACGAAGGGTCCCGTGCCCAAAGAAAGCGTTTACTAATCAAATTTCAGATTTCCAGTCCCCGAACTGGAGCTTGAAGAGCATTCGCTGCGGAATGCCCATTTAAAACCTTTTCTGGAAATATATCCGGAATGAAAGACGCCCAAACACGTGTGAAATCTAACCACTGATGGATTCAAAACACGTGTTTTCAATCGATCAGTGGCACGGGGCCCTTATTCCCGTTATAATTCCAGAAATGGTTTTGCGTTTCAGATGGCCATTTCTCCACAAATGCCTTCCATCTTTATGCTTCCCTTTGGAGACTTGAGATTTGAAATTTGATTAGTAAACGCTTTCTCAGGGCACAGGGGCATGTTATGAAAACACGTTCATATCTTTTTCGACGACATTATGACGATGGGCATTGGCACCAATAGTAAAATTTAACTTTACTCCAATCCCATAGATAGGTATCAACGAATCTCTCTGTTAACTGGGCTGAAGATAGATTTTTATAACTTCGAAACATGTCACCCTGAATAACTTACATCATTACAAAAAGTTGTGGAGATGACTTCGAACGTTACATTACACTTTGAGCAAACATGAACTTCTACAATCATTATCACATATTATACAGTGTCATTCATAAAGTCGGCATCATATAGGAAAAAATTTTATTAATGACTTATTTTGGAATTCGAGTTGTACGTTGAGTTCTGCTTCAGAAAAGATAAAAAATGGCCTACTCAATCGTGGTCACGTGACTCGCTACATGTCAAAAGTGAATTTTTTTCAAATTAATCGCTGAAAGTAGGCTTATTTGTTCGAATATCGAAAAAGTTTACTTGAAAAAGTTGTTTCTATTTCAATTTTACACATGCTTTCCGAATTTGATCTTTCTATTGCAACTTTTAGATTTTTATTTTTATTTTATTTTTCGAAATTTCTGTAATATTTGAAGAATTCTTAATTCCACGAAACTACTTCATACCAGTAGCTTTCACATGCTACTCACTTTCAATTACTTATTATCACTGATTATGGACAGAAATATGATGTTCTTCAGAAAATTATAATACCCGCTTCCAAATTCTGTTATGTTTGATGCAAAGTTGATATATCGTCAAGCATTTAGAAACGAAATTCATTCAGACTGATCTTTTCAGTACTGAAAAAATGAATTCGAATGAATTTCGTTTCTAAATGCTTGACTCAAACATAACAGAATTTTGATGTTATGTTTGCATCAACATCAAACATAACAGAATTTTGAAGAGGAGATCATCATTTTCTGAAGAAGATCATATTTTTGTTGATAATAAGTGATAATTATTGATTGAAAGTCAGTAACATGATAAAGCTACTGGTATGAAGTAGTTTTATCGAATTTACAATTTTTTTAATATTACAGAAATTTCGAAATTTTTTAAAAAATATCGAAATCTGAAAAATGTAATAGAAAGATGAAATCCGAATCACATATCTAAAATTGAAATAGAAACAACTTTTTCAAGTAAACTTTTTCGTTATTCGAACAAATAAGCCCACTTTCAGCGATTAATTTGAAGAAATGTCACTTTTGACTTGTAGCGAGTCACGTGACCCCGATTGAGTAGGCCATTTCTCATATTTTTTGAAGCAAAACTTGACGTCCAACTCGAATTTCGAAATAGGTCATTAATAAAAGTTTTTCCCATATGATGCCGACTTTATGAATGACACTGTATATACAGGGTGATTCAGGTTTTGAGGCACGAACTGAAATGGAAGATAGATCTCATCATTTTAATCAAAAAAGTTTTTATAAACATTAGTCCGATCTCGTTCAATAGCGGAGCTACAGGGTGTCAAAGCTGAATTATTTTCTTCTATTAGTTGAAATATCTCGCTTACTTGTCAAGATATCATTTTGAAATTCGGTGTGGTCAATACTTCCTAGAAGATGATTATTTCAAGCCATCTAAAGATTTTCAAAATCTACAGGGTGATACGTTTATGGGGGTAGACGCTTCCTTATTCCCCCCAAACTTTTCAGTTATACGCTTCTGGCATCTTATCAAATCATCAAATTATGTGGATCGTTCAATTTAGAGGCTTTTTTTGCTCCTCAAGTTTTTTCGAGAAACGAGCCGTTTTTGAGATAAATAAGCATAAACGTTCTAAAACATGTTAATTTTGTTTCACTTAAATTTTATTCAACTGAAAAAAAAAACCTTCACTTTTCACCATCTGTATCCCCAATACTGATCCAGATTGTACTCGTGATTGTAATTTTAGTGAGTACATTTCATTGCATTTTCAACGAAAATAAAATGTAAGCGAAACATCGAGCGAAACATAGTCAAAATTAACATGTTTTAGAACGTATATGCTTATTTATCTCACAACCGGTTTGTTTCTCGAAAAAACTGGAAGAGCAAAAAAGCCTGTAAATTGAACGAACCACACAATTTGATCGCTGAAAGATGCCAGAGGCGTACTACGAAAAAGTTTGGGGGGGATGAAGAAGCCTCTACCCCCAAAAACGTATCTCCCCCTGTAGATTTCAAAAATCTAAATAGCTCCAAATGATGATCTTCTACAAAGTATCGACTACACCAAATTTCAAAACGATATCCTGACAAGTAAGCGAGATATTTCAATTAATAGAAGAAAATAATTAAACGTTGACCCCCTGTAGCTCCGCTGATAAACGAGATCGAAGTGATCGGACTTATGTTTATATAAACTTTGTTGATCAAAATGATGAGATGTATCTCCAATTTCAGTTTGTGCCTCGAAACCTGAATCACCCTGTATTTTCTATCAAATCCGTGTATTGAAATTGAAGAGGCATTAATAAATCGCCTTCAAAAAAGGTCATCAGGAATATGTAAATCACACGAAGAACCTTGACCCTGAAAATTTATTCAGTTTTCTAATATGTTCAGTTTGTTGAAGACATCACACATACTATATAATGCGAACAAACCACAGTCTGTCATCTCTAAGCCCTTTGTTGGCTGGATCTTTTTTCAGTTTATTCAAATGAATCAACGCTTCTTCTACAAAGAAAATACCGATGTGCATGCGTACCTTTGCTGCAGCTTATGTAAATTAGCGCCATCAGATCTTCGAGAAAGAATGCTACAGGTTACTTTTGAATACAATGGTATATAAATATTAGGCCACAATCAACATGGAATGTGTCACACTGAATTAACATAACCACCCCCAATGTCGAGTTTGATGATAATCGGACACAAGCTACTTTTACTTCGGGTTGATTATACGAATAACAAAAATTTTAGATTTTTTGAAGCGCACGAAAAGGAATAACCCTTTTATATTCGAGGAATATTGTGCGTATCTACCCAGATAATACAATATTGAACGTCCATAGAATATTACAAATAATATTCTAGGGGCGTTCTCTGAACATTCGGAAAGAACAATCCCAAATATCCTGAGAATATTTCTAGTATATTGAAGGAGAAGGAAGGAAATAAAAAAAAGCTTGCTCCGGTGGAAATGCGAACCTATACCATCTTGTGAATATTTACGAACCTGAAACCTTACCACTTCGCCACAAACCTTATTGTTGAATAAAACGAATAGTAAGATGACAACACTGAATTAGCGGGATAATCAGCATTGAGGCTAGGGAATAAAGGTTGTGTCAGGGTAAACATTACGACTTTTGATACAAGAATAGGAACATCAATATAATATATTTTGATACGATTCTCAATATTCAAAGAGAATATTCTCAGTAGGTATATTCATAATAAATATTCTGAGAATATATAATAAATTTAATGTTTATGCATAATGAGAATATTCTATGATCATTCTAAGATATTTCATAGGAATATTTTAAAATAAGTATATTTGAACGCTGTCAGAATATTCATGGAATATTCTCTGTGCTGTCTGGGTAGGAAGGATAGAGAGAGCATGTAGGTATTAGAGCTTTTTATAAACTTTCGAAGGTTACAACTTCTTGGGACATATATTCCCGTTGTCAGATAATTCCAAATCTTTTCCGGTCTATAGACAAACGAGTTCTGTTAAAGAGTTGTTCGACATATTTCGAGGTTGACGATGAAAATATGTGCTGACTAAGTTCTGTGACTGTGAAGTTCGTCTAACTGGTATTGCGAGTGATGGAATGATAGTCTAAAGAACATTTTCCTTTGAAGTATCTGGCCAGCAAATATTAAATCTCTGGCCGCCTTCTGGCCGAGTATAATTCAGCCAGCACTGGGCCAATAAAGTCAATTCGTGTTATGTTTTTCCTCACGTCATACAATCGTCTAAGGTGCCAAATAGAGAATGATTATATTTCAGTTTCAATTGAAAAATCGAATTTTCAGGACGAGGGAATAGCGCAGTGGTTGAGGCGCTCGACGAGTAATCAGAACAGTTGCTAGGTTGGAATCCCCGAAAGAGCAAAGAAATTTTATGTATAAAACAAGTTATGAATTATAATTTTCGTATCCTCGGCCGGAGATGATTCCGCACGATTCGCTGTCTCGTTCCAATTAACAGTGCTGCTCCTGAAGTGGCGTAAGGAGTTAGTAACAAAGCCTGCACAGAACACGCATCTCCAGCCGAGGTTACAAAAATTGCAAAACTGTGGATAATGCTAGTGGTCAACTACCAACATATCATTGATATGAAGTAGGAACAATGTTGATGCTGAAATTGATCCTTCTTATTTTTCAATCGACTGTAGAAGTTCATATAATGACTTAAAGTGGAGTGAAGTAGTTCGAATAGTGGGAAAAGTACTTCAACAAGTCGTCTCCACAACGTGAAATCAAATTATGAATAGGAGGGGACATGTTTTGGATCTATATAAAGTATCCATCATCATCCGATAGAAATGATTCTACAAAAAACAAAATGACAGAAGGGTTTCAATGATGAAACATGGTAGTACTCACGTGGAGAAGAAAAAAGAACTGTCAACGTATTATGACAGTTTTCCTGATAAGGGTCCCTGTGCCCCAATTGGCAAATAAAATAGCCACATAAGGAAGCCGAAATATATATTAATATCAAAATATCCAGAAATTTATAAATTTGATATTGCATGTGACTATCAAAATCGTAAATTCCTGGATATTTTTATATTCGGAGATCTTTCGGCCTCCTAATGTGACTATTCACAGGGCTCCCTTCCAGAAAACCTGTCATAATACGTTAAAAGTTCATAAAATAGATATTTTTGTAATTTCCAATGTGACTACGATTTGACTCTTCTATTCTCCACGTGAACATTAACATGTTTTACTATTGAAACCCAATTATTGCATTGTTCTTTTTTGAATCACTTCTATTAGCTGATGATGGATACTAAAGATCCGAAACATGTGTCCTCTTCTTTCATAATTCAATATTAAGGGATTTGGAGACGAATTGGAGTATTTTCCTCGCTATTCATTATATTTATCATATTCTATTTATATTGTGAAATTTTTTATATCGCATTCATGATGTTATCCCATACATATCCCTTGATTTTCATTCAATTGTGAAGAAATTGGGAAGAAATTGCAAAATGCCCTGAGATCAAGTCCCACAGAGTATCGTTATGTTACTTGGTTCTTCTGATAGTCTCATTATTCTAGTTCTCATCCCTGAAACCACAAGTGAATCAACCAATTCGAAAAATTCAAGTTGTCGAAATATATTCATATCTCAAAAGTGGTGCGAAAAATTTTTCAGAATAACAGGGTTTTTTGATTCCAGAAATCGAAAACGGACGACTTGAAATCGGATGACGAGTTCCTCACAGCCTCAGAATGCACCCTCCAACACTCCCGCTCCTCATCCTACAACACCGCCTCCGAATGCGAGCACCGATACTCCCCCTGGTGGGACTACGGCAAAGACGACTCTCACAAGGACATCTCCAAGGAGAAAATGGTCCTGGCAGTGGGACTCCCTGAACTGCCCCTCGCCAAGGAAGTTTTGAAACCTTCCCCGGAGGTACCGCCAGGTAAAATCGTGCGAGAGGTGACTGAAACTACCCACATCAAGGTCCAGCAGTCCCATTCCCTGGGAGTCTCCTCTTTCGTGCTGACCTCGGAGACCGTGAGGGACAGGAAAAATCAGGAAGGTACACAACGCGAGGAGGTCGTCAGAGTCATTAGTGAAGATGGTAAAGAAGTTCTCGTTCCTGTGGCTGTAGATGTAACTGTGGATGGTGAGGATTTGCAGTCTAGGATCAAGGAGGTAGGTCGTTTTGAGGATGAGGCATGGAAGAGCTATCAGACTGTTACGAAGCAGGCTATCAAAGGTTTCATTTGAGACTGTTCTCACCAAATGAAACAAGCCATAAGCCATGCACTTAACTCGGCAGCTGCTGAAAAAAATTGAGTTGAGTTGGTTGTTCAGATCATCAATGGGACCATCGAATGTATGGAAACCTTGAATATAGGATGTCTGAAAAAGATGAGCGGATTCAAATATTGAACAAAATGATAAAGATGATTCTTCTTGATTACTGTCTGTAGGTAGAATATCGAATTTTCTAAGCTTCTATTTATTTATTTATAGAAACAAGCATAGGAGATCCCAAGATTGAAGGGAAATGAATGTTTTTTCTTGTTAATCCAATTGCTTTTATATCCACGGGACAATCTCGCTCCTTGAAAATGTTTTGTTTTTTGTTGCTGCATTGAATTCTTCTTCGAATATATACACCCCACTATTTATGATAATTTGAACGATTCGAATAATTGTTTCCTTCAAAATATAGTAACCAAAAATAGAACTATCAGATAGTCTATGAATTGAGTTAGATTTTTCATCTCAAGGCGATTTGTGATCAAAATTATATCATGAAAATCAGGAAACTATATATATTAACCTCATTCCATTTCGAAAATACTTGAATTTTCAATTTCTTCATGACTGAAATACCCATATACGGAATTCCATCAATTTTCATACACAGGGCGGGACAAATCCGAAACTCCTGGAGGGACAGTCAAATAAAATTATATATAGATATGAAATAATGATGTCAGTGTCGAAGTGGTTTTTCAAGACGATATGTTCTTTGAAAATTTGCATTCTTATAAAGTCGCTAACAAGGATATTTTCGTTTTCATGAAAATCTCAGTGCTTTGGAAATGCTTATTCAGTTCCTTTTCAATTTGTCCTACCCTGAACATGACATTATGATGAATCTTCAAACTCAGTCAGTGCTGTTCCTGAGGTAACGTATGAAGTGACAATAACAAATTAATTCATGACCTGAAAGGTTCCAGGAGGTCTACGATGTGTGGAAAAACATGAGCATATCATCATAGAAATGGAATCAATGCATAGTATGGAAAATCACTTTGAAAGAATGCGTTAAATGCTGATATAATCAAAAAGCATATGGAAATCGAATCCCCAATTCGATGCATGATCTATGGCATCATTTGATTGGAATTGAAAGGAATTTAATGAAAGATCTGAAATTCTATGATTCATTCAACAACAACAAAAATTATTTTGCTGGAAAAACTGTTCAGCATTTTGTGGGTGAGTCTTTGTACCTCAGCAGGGGGTGCTTTTTTCAACAATTTTATAAAGAATCCTATCAATTTAGATGTGTGGTATTCATCGTATTCATTCATGAGATTATACCCATATTCTCCTGAATATCCTGTATGTCTCAATCGAGACCACTGTTGTAATCTAAATTCGCGAAATGTACATGGGCTTCATAACATGAAGCGAAACTAATCAATGATCTTAATGCGTTATCATTCTCAAATCATAACTATTCAATTTCGAATCTTTGTGGAATACGAATAGGCAATCAATACTCACTCAAGTCATATGTCATAATATGATTAGTTAATCTCAGATCTTATAAAAATATTCAGAATGAGTCTCACAGTTCCGAAGTTTCGTGTAACGAGACATGATGCTGACTATCAACCAGTCTAGAAGCTGGTTTTCATTGATCCGTGAAAATAATGAAGGTGAGAATATTGTTGAGTTATCTTTCGATATCTGGTGAGTATTTCTCAGAATTCAACAAATTGAGAAATCAATACAATGCAAAATGCAACTCCTGTATTAGTCGAGTCATATAGTATAGAGTAAAGTCGGAGATTATGAAATATATCCGGTAATAAAGGACACCCAATTTTTGACAAAACTACGAGTGGAATTTATTTCAATTCGATATAATTTCATATTCCATTGAGTTCATAGTTTTTCTACAAGTGTGTTTATTCTATAGGTATCTATCGTTTCTGACAGTTTTAATAGTTGATGGGATTTCGGTGCTTACAAAATATTTGGGTGAGTTTATTAAACTCATATTTCATATACATTTGGGAGTCATTTCATATTTTTGTTAAGTTGTGATTAGATCAATGGTCTGTGAAGTACAATGTAGAGATAGAGCTCATTTTAGATAATTATTTTTTGAACTATTTAACCTTCGAAGTAATATATAGGCGACAATTATGGAATAGTATTCCATATTACCCGACTCAATCATTGAACACTTCGAAAAATTATCAAAATGATAAACAATGCGAACCAAAACTCCACAAAGTAAGAAGTGGAATGAGGAAGATGAAATAAGCGCAGTGATAGCAGTTAGAAGCTGAAGCATGGATATTGGATATACCCGTTCTTCCATCCACTATAGGTACCTCCGATCAACGAACTGTATGATCGAAGATAGGTACCGTACGACACAGGAGACATGTAACAGCCTGTAGTTTTTTTAGTTAACAAGATGAAGAATTCAAATTGGCAAGAGTTATATTATCGATGATACCGCTTCCTTTGAACCCAATAAAAATTTCTTTCAACCACCTGTTTGATTGGAAGAAGACCCAACTTTTATTTCAAAGGACACCCCGTATATTTCTGTAGTCTGTCTTATTTGCTCTGGAATTCTCTTTTCTCCTATGTATCACAATTTGATATTCGTTTATTATTTGGCTGTTGAATTGCATTTTATTGACATACATGAAGTTTGCTGTGACCCGAATACAATGACATTTCGATGCTTGATAGGCTCGGAAATCCAAAGATTATCACTTAGACGATATTATCAGAATATTTTCCATACCCTAATCGGTCCCAGAAGATTGCCAATAATTTTATTGAGTTTGAAACAAACATCCGAAAATAACTCACGATATTAGAACGATACATCAATTATTACAACAATTTCAGTTTCATGTATCCAAATTGATGATCATATTATGGCTACATGACAAAAATGATAGACAAATAGTTTCTTCACAAGTAGTCAAATGAAAAAAACTGAGATTCTATCTTAGTTTTCTCAATATCGAAAGTTATTTTTGGATGAATTTTTCAAAGTCGATGAAATATTTGGTAATCTTCTGGGACCGATTTGGGTATGGAAAATATTCTGATAATATATAAAGTATTCATCTTTGGATTTTTAAGCCTATCAAGCATCGAAATGTAATTGCATTCGGGCCACAGCCAACTTCATGAAATGTAATTCAAGAGCCAATTAATGAACGAATATCGAATTGTGATACATGGTTGATTAGAGAATTGCAAGGAGAATAAGATAGGCTACAGAAATAGATAGAGGGCCTTTTAAAAAAAAAGTTGGGGCTACTTCCGATCAAACAGGTGGTAGAAGAAAATTGTCATTGGGTTCAAGGGAAGCGTCATGATTGATAATATAACCACCTGTGAATTAAAAATTTTTATCTCTTTAAATAAAAAAACAACAGGCTGTTACATGTCTCCTGTGTCACCCGATATAGTGGATATGAATAGTGGATACAAAGCCTAAGATGCAAGCTTTGGGCACACGCACTGTGTACTGAGAACAGTGAAAACCGTAACTACATTTCCGATTATGTCGTTATAGTAGACATCAGATATGGTATTTCATATCACCCGACCATTTTTTTCAACAGAAATGTAGTATTTTTCAATAAACCAAATTATATTTCTTCTGTTAATATTTATCTGAGTTTGTTATCATAATTCGCTTTTATAAATCTTTTGGCCACACTATCACCTATTGAGATTTATATTTCATTCAATACTTCCCGAAATAACCCAAAGAAATAAAAACGGTATTTCATAATCCCCAACTCTACTCTACCTACTGATATGTGTATTCGTACAATTCAGAAAATACTGTTGTTTCTTCTTATATGGATATGGAGAATTGTTCTTGGAGACACCATCAATATTGTCTTGTTCTACCTATGCCTCAATGTCTTACCCAACTCATTTGTTACTTCATAGTTATTAATTTAATTAGCTTTTATATTATTGCCTTATTGAGAGTTTTATTTCGTTGTAGAAAGCCTAACCTGCACGTGCATTCGTTTACTAATTATATAATTTGTTATTTATGGATTTAAATGGTGATAAAAATGTTCAAAAACTTCTAGGCCAATTTCTGAATTGTAATGTAGCATGTATAAATGCACAACAATTCAATTTTGCGTTTCAGTTATTGAAGCACAATGTTGTACATTGCAGGTATGTCCAAATATATATTGAACTGATAGAATTCTATCTACGTATTTATACATCATTCTCTATCCTCTGTTCTGTAGTTTTATATAAAATATAAATGGAAATTATAGTTCACATATTCATTATGATATCATTTGAATACAGAACTTTCGTCAATCATTGCGGCTTTATACATTATTTTTATCACCATTTTTCAAATTCGAATATTTTATCTATTATTTTGTGTTTGTAATATATGTTGTGAGTTTTCGAATTTGTTTTATTTTGTGATCTGCATGCTTTAATCAATGACTACATCAATGCGTCTTGGTGTCAACGCAAAAATCGAAAATATATCATCTCAGATTATGAAACGCTAGAACAAATATTTGGTTGTTATGGTAAGTGTTGATAAAATCATTGCTGCAACATGCACAGTTTCATGGACAAACCAGTAATATACCCGTTTTCATTTAGAATATTTCTTGGCACTAAATGCTGTAAATTCTCGAATAAAATCTCCTATTAATAGCTATATACATTATGGAGAACACATTTTATTGCTGAAACTCAATGTGGAATGAAACGAAAGAAATATACAATTTTGAAAAAACTATTTAGTATTGAATAATAATAGTTGTATCGAATAGCAAGGCAGGATTATATTTCTCTCCACTATTTGTTTCTAATGAATCGGGTTTCAAAATACCATTATTTATTGATATTCATGGCAGTATCAAAGGAATAATTTTTCTTATTTGACCAGCTTTATATCAACTACGTACAGTTCTTCAGATAGCTATAAAATGACTCAAGAGCATTTTCAAATATATTTATATGACTCAGCCATTTCTAAAAAATTCCTCAAACTCAGATTTTTATTCAAATATGATTGAATAATATGACTATCAATCAATCAAGGCTGAAAAAGGCCATTTTTTTTAATCAGAATTATATTTGGTTCTGTTTCTCTGTTTTTTTTTGCTCCTAGATTCAAGAGTGTATAACTAATTGGCATTTGAATACTTTTTTCAGAAAAATTATACAGAATATTCCATCAAAATTGAAGTGAAGTTAGTTCTCGCGACAGTTATTGGTACGAGTTTGAGAAACGGACAACCTATTTATATGGAGAATACATTTTCATCAAATTATAGTTTCGCTGTTTTGAATGGCTGAACTAGATGATTTCGCCAGTAGATCATTTCTTTTATTGATTTTTTCATGGATTTTGGTCAAAAATGGCTACTTACTGAAAAAATAGCTGGAAAACTAGTTGGAAAAGTTTCATTCATTCTCTCTTTCAAAGTTGGGTTCAAAAAGAAGATGAAATATGGTATGCGAAGTATTTATACAGGGTGGCTCATCGAAGACGAAAGTTGTGGAGATGACTTTGACCTTTCCTTCCTCCTTTAACGATCCATTCAAGTTTTCTTCGTTGTGTTGCAATTGATAACGAAAGCGCTCGAACAGGTTCCATTTGAATTTAGCGGGAAGGCACATCCTTCTGCAATTATCATATTCCAAATATAATGAATAGTTTCGACAAAAAAAAATCCTGAAGTTGAAAAATCTCGATTTTGAACACCCTATACCTCTGTCCTCATTCCTGCTAGACCTCAAGTGTGATGCATTGATGAATTCAGATCTTTAGGGGGAATCGAAAGATGAATTGAAATACAGGATGTTCCATTTGAAAATAAAAAGTTGATGCCCATTACGCTTCGAGGTTTCAGCTTTGGAATATGATAATTATTGCAGAAAAATGTGTCACTTAATTGAAATCGACCAGTCCCAGCAATTTTCCATTAATTGCAACAATAGAGTTCCTGTTTTTGATTGGTTCACAAGAGATACTTCAAGGAATTTAAATAAAATATGTTATAATAAGATGTAAGGAAACGCAATATGTATGCAATACTCTGTGTTGTTGGGTGAATTTCATATGCTCATCTGCTCAATCTCATCGTAACGCATGATCACTCATTTCCTAAGTAGTCTCATAAATATGAACCGTCGAGCGAATTTCTCTTACTATTCACGTTGAATAGTTTTAGAATACTGTTCTCACATATGGGGTTCGGCATCCAAACATTCGCTGATGCTCTTAGATTCCATCCAGAGAAGAGCCATTTGCCTTGTGGGTGATGCCACACTTACCAATTCTTTGAGCCTATTAGAATACCGTAGAAACGTCGACGACCTATCAGTTTTATATAGATACGTCCACTGGAAATGTTTCTCAGAAATCTCTGCTATAATTCCATCACTCGCAATACCAGTCAGACGAATTTGATAGGCCCAGTCAGCACATCCCTCCGTAGTTGACCTTGAAAAATGTCGAACAATTCTCTACCAAACTCCGTTCGTCTATAGAACGACGAAGCTTTGGAATACTTTGCCGATGGAAGTATACCCAAGATTTTATAACCACCAAAAGTTTTGAAACTCCAACACTTTGTCTTGTGCCATTTTATTGTCTAAATTATCAAAAGTTCAACTTCTTCATTTCCATAATTAATTCTTGTAATCGGCTGATGTTGGGCTCATATAAGCCCGAAACATGTACAGGGCTAGTTCTATTAATGTGAACCCCCCTTCATCTTCTTTGTTTTCTATCCATTCAACAAGAATCAGAACTGATTTTTTTTACGATATTCCATATTGGTTTCAATCATATTGAGTGTTGCAATATCTCTTCAAATATACAGGGTATACAAAAATACATTGATTTATTTTATATGGAATGCGCTGTATATTTCGATAGATGAAGATCCTTCTATATGGTGGTTTGAAATCAGGATGATTTAGGGAATTCAAATTCATCGAGATATACAGGGCGTTTCATATAAAAAATATAATTTTTTCTGTATACCCTGTATATTTGAATAGATATTGCATCATCGTCAAAATGAGTGAAATCTGTGCGAAAAATTGTATTTAATCAGTTTTGAAATGTTGTGATCGATCTCTGATCGTCAAATAAATGTTGTGGAGATGACTCTGGGTTTCTTCGTCTATGAAATATATACCACTCCACTTCGAGTTACCATAGACTTCTTCCAAAGACTATTAAATATTCACTTAGGGTGAGTGATTTATTTCTCCGTGTAGGAACGCACGATGATCTTTCAACATTATAGAAATTTCCTTTCGTGCGCTCCAAGAGATGAGAAAAATATATTTACGATGTTCTTCGAACATTGGCATCAATTCCGGCGTTCCACGAGGTTCAATTTTGACACCAACATCATTCCTTCTTCATATCAATGATCTGTTGGGAGTAACAACTTGCCCCATCCACAGCTTTGCAGATGATAGTACCCTCCATACTGCGATCTCTTCCAGAATTCCCATTTCTTCCCAGGAAACTCAGAACTCACGGCGCAGGCAGGTCAATGCTGTCAATGAAGACCTTGCTGAAATGACAGCCTGGGGAACCAACTTCCTATAGTTGAATTTAACGCCACCAGAACGCAAGCCTGTATTTTCTCTAGAAAGGCGGAAGTCAGTATGTCCGATATTGTAATGTCTGGCACCACTATCCCCACCAAGCCCTCCATATCTATGCTCGATATTTCCATCAGCAACATTCTTTCATGGGATAATCATGTCAGATCCATTGCAAAAGCTGCTTCACAAAAACTCGGATTCTTGTTCCGTGCGAAGAGCTACTTTACACCTCAACAGCTTCTCATGATCTACAAAGCGCAGATACGGCCTGTTCTAGAATACTGTTCCCACATATGGGGTTCAGCACCAAAACACGCTGATACTCTTAGATTCCATCCAGAGAAGAGCCATTCGCCTGGTGGGAGACGCCACACTCACTCACTCTTTGACATCATTGGAACACCGTAGAAAGGTCGGCGACCTTTCACTTTTCTATCGATACTTCCACGGGAAATGTTCTTCGTAAATATCTGCTATCATCCCCTCACTAGCAATACCAGTAAGATGAACTAGACAAGCCCAGTCAGCACATCTTTCCGTTGTCAACCTCGAAAGATGTCGAACAGCACTTAATCGAAACTCCTTCATCCATCGAACGGCTAGGTTCTGGAATTCATTGCCTGAGGAAGTATTCCCAACAACATATAATCTCCAGAAGTTCAGAATAAAATCCAATGCCTACCTCCTGTCCCTATCCTCCTTAGAAACGCACGATGTTCTTTGAACATCATAGGGATTTCCTTTCGTGCGCTCCAAGCGATAAAAAAAAGAAAAAAAAAATAGGAATTTCTTCTCGACTCCAAGAAACAAAAAAAAACATCGCGGGCCGGTCGCCTCAAACTCGCGAGCATCACCCATACGACGCACAGAGACCACACATACGTCGCACAGAGACATCCCATTCCCATCCCAGCCTGGTCTCCGTTCCGCTTTCATCTGGTCATCAGCATGGTCTGGCAGCGGAATCTCGCGTCGAACTTGACTCAGTGTGTTCAGCGGCTCCGGGCAAGCTCCTAACCAACGGACGGAAATAATCCCGCGCCATCAACCGAAACAGTCGAAAATACCGAAACGACCGCGAAAAAGTGGGTTTTCTCTGATCATTTCGCGAGTTATGTGCCGTCAGTGAGAAGCTAGATGGATTCGCAGAGGCCAGTCGAGAATGGAGTGTGCCAAGAGGAGGTGTCATCGACTTCTTTGGCAATGTCCAAAACGACCACTATAAGCACCATCGCGGTGCAGAGTGGTGGTACCAGGATTGTTATAGCGTTATTGCATGTAGGTCGAATTATCGAAGATCATTTTGATATGTAGTCATTTAGAAAATCTTATATCGGTTTGCAAGGATCTACGAATAATCTGAAAAAAACAATAATCAAAAATTTGCATTGTTATTGCAATTCAACTTTATTTAACCGAAACCCAAAAAAAAATAACATAAACCTATCAATGATCAATTCTCAGATGCAAACCTCTGCTCTTCATGCAATTGAAAACCACCAATAGTTCTCAAGATCGTTCAACTCAAAATGAAATGGAAACGGCAAAGCTCTAGAATTCATTGCCCAAGGAATTATTTCCAAGAACTTATAATCTTCAAAATTTCCAAAAAATCTAATACCTACGCACGATGTCCTTCGAACATTATGATATTTCACGATCCAAAAATAAAACAACAATTTTTGATCTTGAGAAGTATACACCCATAATAATCTGTTGAGTTGATATTAATTTCGAAAATACCAACTTTTGAATATCCAAGAACATAAAGATAGAATCCACACATTTTTGAATATAAAGATGAAGAAAATCTTATATCGGATCTACGAATAATTGGTTATATCTGGAAAAAACAATATTCAAGAATTGGCAATGTGATTGTAATTCAACTTTATTTAACCGAAACCCATCAGGAAATTACATAAACCTATCATTTATCAATTCTCAAATGGAAACTTCTGATCTTCATGCAATTGAAAACCACCAATAGTTCTCAAGATCGTTCAACTGTCTTCTGAAAACCTAACTGACCCAAAATTTTTTGTTCTCGATCTCATCGACTTATCCCTCGACTTATCCATATAGATCTCCAGAGTCCTATTCATCTTCAGTTTACATCCTATGTCAAATTCCTCCAAAAAGAATTTCGATATTTCATGTCCATATTTATACGATGAAATTGGACTACTTACCAGGTTACAACAACAATTTTTATCGGAGTTAGGTCATGAACTCAAAATAAAATGGGAACGGTAGAGCTCTAGAATTTATTGCCCGAGGAAGTATTTCCAAGAACTTATGATCTCCAAATTTTCAAAAAAAAAATCTGATACCTAGCAAGATGTTCTTCGAACATAATGATATTTCACGAACCAAATAAAACAACCTTAATCGATCTTGAGAAGTATACACCCATAATAATATTTTACGTTGATATTGATTTCGAAAATACCAAAATTCGAATATCAAAGACCATTTATTGAGAGACAATCCAAACATTTTGTTAATAAAGATGGAGATACGATAATGATGATGCTGTAGGTGAGCCAAGAGGACTGGTCATCGACTTCTTTGGCAATGTCCAAAACGGTCACTATAAGCACCATCGCGGTGCAGAGCGGTTGTAGCAGGGTTGTGATAGCGTTATTGCATGTAGGTCGAATCATCAAAGATCACTTTGATATGTAGTCATTTAGAAAATCTTATATCGGTTTGCATGGATCTACGAGTAATTAGTTATATCTGGAGAAAACAATATTCAAGAATTTGCAATGTCACTGCAATTCAACTTTATTTAACCAAAATCCTTCAGGCAATTGCATGAACTCATAATTCATCAATTTTCAAATGCAAACCTCTGTTCTCCATGCAATTGAAAACCACCAATAGTACTCTCAAAAAAATACACCAGTGGCTTGTTTCTATAAACCTAACTGACGCGAACATTTTTGTTTTTGATCTCATCGACTTATCCTTATAGATCTCCAAAGTACTATCTTCAGTTCTCATCCCGTGTCAAATTCCTTCCAAAAGCATTCCCATATTTCATGTGGATATTTATACGACAAAATTGGAGTAATTACCAGGTCAACAACAACAATTTATATCGGAGTTAGGTCATGAACTCAAAATTATATGGGAACGGCAAAACTCTGGAATCGAGACTGGATTTTATTGCCCAAGGAAGTATTTCCAAGAACTTATAATCTCCAAAATTTCCAAAAAAGTCTAATACCTACGCACGATGTTCTTCGAACATTATGATCGAGATTATGATATTTCACGAACTAAATAAAGAAACTTTTATTGATTTTGAGAAATATACACCCATAATAATCTGTTACATTGAAACATTTTTGTTAATAAAGATGAAGATACGATAATAATGATGCTGTAGGTAAGCCAAGAGAAAGTGTCATCGACTTCTTTGGCAATGTCCAAAACGACAACTATAAGCACCATCGCGGTGCATAGCGGTGGTACCAGGATTGTTATAGGGTTATTGCATGTAGGTCGAATTATCGAGTGAGTATTAACGAAGATCCCTTTGATATGTAGTGATTTAGACAATCTTTCATCGGTTTGCATTGATCTACGAATAATTGTTTATATCTGGACGGAATAATATTCAAGAATTTGCAATGTGATTGCAATTCAACTTTATTCAACCAAAACCCATCAGGAAAATTACATGAACCTATCATTTATCAATTCTCAAATGCAAACCTCTGTTCTTCATGCAATTGAAAACCACCAATAGTTCTCAAAATCGTTCAACTCTCTCCAAAAAATACAGCAGTGGCTTGTTTCTGAAAAGGTAACTGACCAAACATTTTCGTTTTTGATCTCATCGAGTTATTCATATAGATCTCCAAAGTCCTATTCATCTTCAGTTTTCATTCCATGTCAAATTGCTTCCGAAACAATTTCCATATTCCATTTTGATATTTATACAATCAAATTTGGGTATTTACCAGGTTGGCATCAACAATTTCAACTACGAAATAGTCACAATGCTCAAAGTGGAATGAAATGTTGAATTAATACAAAAAGCTCAAGGTCATTTCCACACAATGTTCATAAAATGAACAACAATGGTAGATTGCGGGAGAAAAACAACTACTTTCCTGGCTGATGCCTCGCAGAACATTGAATTACATACTCCCGAAATCTATGCATCGACTCTACAGACAGGTTTCGAGCTCTTTGACTCTCATCAGTGCAGGGCAGTCTCCAGCCAGCAGTCCTAAGACCGCTACGCTTAGTCGAATATTAATCTTGAGAAGTATAAACCTATTATAATCTGTTACATTGATATTGATTTCGAGAATACCAACATCTGAATATCCAAACATGTATTGAGAGAGACTCCAAACATTTTTGTTGATAAAGATGATGATATGATAAAAATGATGCTGTAGGTGAGCCAAAAGGAAGTGTCATCGACTTATTTGGCAATATACAAAACAACAACCATGCACGTTCTTCTTATAATCATGGGATCAAAGCTTATTATGACCTTGTTCTATTTTCATTTTAGTGTATGTTTTTCAAATTGGGATTAGCAAATATTCAATAATTGATTGAATCTATGTCAGAATCTTCAACGAATGTATTCTTCTATTCAAGAACATGATCATTGTTGAAACGTTACCACATGGCATGTCTTTTTACAAGAACATAAATCTTGATATGGAAGTTATGTCGCAACCTCTATGGAACATTTTGAGAATTATATGCCTTCTTTGGTGATTCTTCGATAATAATACAATTACAAACAAGGAAGGAATGTAAGTAGATGCATTATTATACACATACCAAGATACATCGTACACGCATTGAAAAATATTTTAGGAAACTGAACCTCATTGTTTCAAAATATTTTTAGATAAGAATTATGTCAGTTAGTACTGATATTTATAGTATTCACCTATATTCGAATACAAGGACGCTTTTATTTACGTTACGAAGATAACAATAACACGCATATTTATATAGACACAATAATTGGCAAAATAATAAAAATAACAATCGTGCAATGAACTATGGGAATTTAAAAAGTTGATGAATACGTAAGATTATGCAGACAATCAAGTATCATTAGATATGGAGTGTTCCTCCTTCCAATCAATCAGGACAATAATAAATTACAAGTGTTGATAATTCCAAAACTATTATTGTCTCTGATATAAAACCATACATCATACATCGTTCGGAATTCGAAGTAGAATCGAAAAATGCAATGAAAAATGTGGTGTTCTATATGATAACATGAACTTCTCAGTCACTGCACTTTTTTGAGACACTCTGTAAATGAATCTCAAACGAAAGCCTGATGCAACTTATATATCTAACAATTTTTGGACATACATACCTCGTACTGATTGAAAACCGAACAAAAGACGAATCTTGAGGATTTGTGAAGGTGATGGTCTTGGTTGAGGTCTGGGTTGTGATTGAGGAAGAACATTTATAATTCTCTTTATACATATATACATTCACGAGGTGAAGCTTTCATGCGTGTTCAATAATATCAGGCGTATGTGACCAATAATTTAGATATGAAGGGTATGAACCCTTCTCACCATTCACTAAATTACTTTACGCATATCTCATTTATCATCAATAAAGCTTCTCCGCTTTAATTGTGAAATAAGTGGAATTTGTATTCATAGTTTTTTGAGCTGCAAGCATAAGCCAAGACCCAAGAGTGAGAACGGTGGAATTATAACAACAAAACGTATCACAAAAAGAACCTCCAGTTCCACACCGATTCGATATGGCCTCCACTTGGTTTCTACATTTTCATCTCTGTGGTCAACTCACATTGGAATATGAGATCATCTGTTACGGACAAAAAAACAAATGCCATTGCCGGCATACCCACTAATACTATTCAATTACCGGTCCACCTTGACTCACAACCAGAAACCATTGGAAACGGTTTGGTAATATAATTCACTGAGGTAGAATATTCAATACTTCTAATGGTGTCCTGTCGATTGCATAATCAAAACAAGTCTTCTGTTGGCATTTTTTATAAGTATAGTCGGTCTTTCCAGTTGCATGACACCTGACAATCGGATGAAGAGTTTGTAAATGCTTTTGATTACTTTCAATTCCTATTGGAAAATTTCATTTTGCATCTGAGATATCCGAGGAGACAGACCTCCCATTTTGGATGGCCCATTCCGTGATAGTGAGAATCAGAACGTTGTTAGTTTTTTCCATAACAATTTATTTCTACAGCACTCAAAGAAATAGTCGGTAGTAAATAT